TTAAGGTGCTCCCATTTCCCCCCTTTCTCCCTTAATAATACCCTTCTCCTACGGTCCTACCTCTCTTGAGCTCCTTCTTTCCCTTTATCCCCTAGGTTCCTTGTATACCCTTCCCTCCCCCCTCCCTTAAACTAACCCAATATAAATATTTTTTTAAAAAAAGAATGTGGGGCTGGAGAGATGGTTCAGCATGTAAGCACACTTATTGCTTTTACAAGGGACCCAGGTTCAGTCCTCAACACCTATATGGTTGCTTACAACTACTTGTATCTCCAGTTTCAGGGGATTTGATGCCCTCTTCTAGTCTTCTCAGGGTCCTACACACATATGATACACAGAAACTCACACAGGCATACACATATACAGAAATAAAACATGAGTAAATAAATCTGAAAAAAATAATTGCTGTAAAGTAATAATTTTACCAAAAATCTCTTCTGTGTTCTTAAAATTTGTTCATGCTATAAGGTATATTTGTCAGTTAGTTTTGGCTGATGTTCAGTTAACCAAAGGTTGTTTTTCAATTGTGTGTTGTTGCCTAAATTTTCAATTTTCTTTTGGCTCAAAGTTATTGAAGCATAAAAGTAAAAATAGGGGGCTGGAGAGATGGCTCAGTGGTTAGAAATACTGATTGTTCTCACAGAAGACCCAGGTTTGAATCCCAGCACCCACATGGCAGCTAACAACTGTCCTTAACTCCAGTTCCAGGGGGTCCGACAGCCTCTTCTGTCTTCCACGGGCATTGCACAATATGGGTGTACTTACCTACATGCAGGCATAACATTCATACACATAAAATAAAAAATAAATAATAAGTAAAATATTTTTGAAAAACTCCTCAAGGGACTGGAGAGATGGCTCAGCAGTTAAGAGCACTGACTGCTCTTGCAGAAGATCTGGATTCGAATCCCAGCACCCACATGGCAGCTAACAACTGTCCGTAACTCCAGTTCTAGGGGATCCGGCAGCCTCTTCTGTCCTCCTTGAGGGTGTACTTACCTACATGCAGGCATAACATTCATACACATAAAATAAAAAATAAATAATAAGTAAAATATTTTTTAAAGTAAAAATAAAACAGTAAAATAAATGCTACAATTCAGAATACTATGATAAGCACAATGTATAGAGTTTTGGTGTTCATACAGTGTCTGGGTTTGTGTGTGTCAAGAAGTGATCTAATTTACACTACCAATCACAAATAGGAAACTGCAGGGCTGGAGAAATGGCTCAGTGAGTAAGAGCACTCACTAGCTACTCTTGCAGAGGACCTGGGTTTGATTCCCATTACCCACATGGTGGCTAGCAACTGTCAGTAACTCCAGTTCCAAGGGATTCCAATGCGTTCTGACCTCCATGGGCATTGCACAACACGGGTGCACTTACACACATGCAGGCAATACATTCATACACATAAAATAAGTTTTAAAAAAATAAATAGGAAACTAAAAATATGAAATATAATGGTAGACAGCTAGAAATCACATTTCTAGATATGCCCTTGTCCCCACCCACAGAGCTTCTTGTCAGAGGATAGCAGTGAATTGTATGCTTCCTGATCTCAGTGGCGTTTTTAATTGGAACAGGAGACTGTGAATTAGGGTTGTGGGGCCAGAGTCTCCCCAGTTTTTGTAGTGGCTGGTGTACAAAGAATTTCTAAAACTTTTTTAGATGGTTGGAGAAAATAACAAAATAATGGTACATATGAAAATGGTAGGAAGTTCAGGTTTCACTGTGAATAAAAGTTTTATTAAGTCATAACCACACTCAAGGGCTTATGCATTCATGCTCCCGATTGCTTTTACTCTATATCCGTGCACTTTATTGTTGTAACAGAGACCATATGGCCTGCAAATCCAGAGTAACTTCTCTTTGATCCATCTTATTTATTATTCTTTCCCCCCAGGAGTTTGTTTGAAGAAAGGTTTTGGTTTTTTTTTTAGTATATAAACTTCTCAAAAGGTCAGTCAACACAAATGAACTAGTGTTCTTTTGCCACCCTGACGGCAAAGCAGGATGGGGTTCCCAGTTAACTTGAAAATACAGATTGAGTAACTTGAGGCATTATTTCAATAAACATTATAGATGATATAAAAAACAACCATTTGGAAGTTGGAATTATACCTTAGCTGGTAGAATACTTGCCTAGAATGCACAAAGCCCTTGGTTCTACTCCTAGCATCACATAAATCAGGCTTGGTGGTGCACTGTAAGCCTAGCCTGGTTCCAGGATCAAGGTCATTCATGGCTCCATGGGAAGATCAGGACAACCTGGGCCACAGGAGACTATGTCTCAGAAAATACCAAGAAAAAAACAATTAGCCATTTGGAGCTGAGTATGATGGTCCATGGCCATAATAAGCATTAGGGGGGCTAAGGCAGGAACATCTAGAGTTGTGAAGTCCCTGCCTCAAAAAAAAACAACCACTTGTGCTACCAAAAACTTAAAAATCAGAGATTTTTTTAAAGAAATAAAGAGATAGGAAACATCTTTACCTGATAATTTAAAAAATACTTTTCTTAAAATTGAAATTAAAAGAAAGGCATTGACCTCACATACTCTTAAATTGAATCCCAGCAAATTGCTGTCACTCCAGCCAATTCTGAACTCATGGATACAGTTGCAAAAAAACCTGGATCTAAGTTAGGTGCCTCTTTCTATAACATCTAATATATTCCTGTAATTGTTACTTTGTTTTGGTTTCTCTGAATGAAGCTATTAAGTAAACTTCTTTGGTGTCTTCCTCAAACAAATAGGGGACTATTTTTTTTTAATATTTTATGTATTATTTTTATTTTGTGTGTATGAGTGTATTGCCTGCATCTATGTGAGTGCACCTGTGTCGTGCAATGCCGTGGAGATCAGAAGAGGGCTTCAGATCCCCCTGGAACTGGAGTTAAGGATGGTTTGTAGCCACCATGTGGGTTCTGGGAATTGAACCCGAATCCTCTGCAAGAGCAGTCAATGCTCTCAACCACTGAGCCATCTCTCCAGCCCCAGGACTATTTCTTATTTTTAGTTTAGTGCAATATTTCAGAGTGCTGGCTTTGTAATCAGGTTTATTATTCAGTCTCCTCTCTCTAGCTGAATGAATTGATTTTCTTATCTAGATATGGGAATAACAACAGCAGTGACATGGTAAGAATGCCTCTTAGAACTTTTAGTGAGGTGGTACAAGTACAGTACTTAAAATTCTGCCACCAAGCTAGCTGTGTGAAGGTTGTGAGTACCAAGCAAGAGTCACTTAGACCAAACCCAAGGAGAATGTTTCCTGGAGTCCATAAATGGAGGGCGCTTGTACATGTCTGCCACTAACAGGGACTGTCACAGAGGACTTTCCCAAGCCAGCATTTTCTAGTTATGCTAAGTCTATGAATCCCCTCTATCAGCAACAGCCTGCACCTCCAGCGAATAAACAGTAGCTTCTGCAATCAGCACTCTTACCAACAGCTCCTTTTTGCCCTTACAAACTTTCTGTTGCCCCAGCCCTCTGGATGTGTCCACACAGCACATGAGACCCAGATTGCAATCTCTTGTTATTCCTAAATAAACTAGAGTTTTGGAGAGTCAGTTTCTCTCTTGCTTAATTTAGGTTGACAGCTCTGTTGCTGGTTTTATAACTGTCTCTCTAACACTGAAGATGCAGGTTTTGTTTATTTTTAAGATGGGTATTTCATTGAGTGAAATCAAAGTGTATTTTTAAATATGTCACAAGCTTTGTGCTATATCGAAGGTTAAAGACTCAAATTTAATATTTTCTATTTTTCCATAAGTTTCTCAACAGATTTTCATCTAATAGTAACAATGTGTTTCCATTTAATGGGATTGGAGTGATTTGGGGGCCAGTGGTAGGGGATATCTGTTCTCAAACCTGTGCTCTTTCCATATACCTTACAAAAAGTTGCAGTATAAGTTGGCTGCTTATTATGTACCAGGGACTGTTCTAAGTACTTACTGTAAAAAACAAAACAAAAAACCAATCTGACTATGTAACCCTGGCTGGCCTAGAACTCACAGAGATTCACTTCTGCTACTATTAAAGTGTGTTGTGTTCCACCATACCTGGCAACATAATACTTAGGTGAACCCTGTGAGTTAAATGCTGCTGTTCCTATTCTTAAAAGAGACAGCTTTCAAGGCTTGTAAATTTCTGTAAATAACTTGTAGGAGGCAGAGTTAGAATTTGAACCTAAACTTTGCCTCCAGAGTTTGTGAGGGTTCCTTCTTCTATTTTGCTTTTGTCTGTTGTTTGAGACAGGATCTTGCTATGTAACCCAGACTGGCCTTCACCTCATGATCCTCCTGCCTCAGCCTCCCTAATGCTGAGAATATAAGGATGCTCTAACACTCCCATTTCAGAGGTTGGGTTTTTAACTACTGTGACCTAAAGCTTTTTATAAAGCGTACTGCCTCTTACTTGCTTTGTTCTAATATGTGAGTTATAGTTTAAGATAAGCTTCTTAAAGAGTTTTGTTTATAGTGTCAAGAATGTAATAGTATGTATTAGTGTTAAATGAATTAATGTTATATATAACATTATACAGAAAACTGTAACTACTATATTTGTTTAATTTTTCTTGCCTTCAAATAGTAACTTTTTCAGTATATGTTCTCATAGGAGCTATCAGTAGCCAGTATTGCCTATTTTGAGGTGGTCTACTTTAAGATGACAAAAATTTGGATTAAAAAAATTGCCTAAGAATCTATTTATAATTCTAAGTTCATTTTTGCTTGCTGGTACTGACTCAAAAATATGTGTTTCTTAGTTAGAGTTTTTCCTTTTTTGGTTCCCTTTGTTAAATGTTAGTTGGTTTTTTGTTTTTGTTTTTGTTTTTTTTATTGAATGGCGTTTCATTGTAAGGGATCATTTCACTTCTAGGAGAAGCCTTGAAGAATTGGACATAATAGTCATGATCCTGAAGTTTGTTTTTTAATTTGTCCATAAAGCTTTTGAAACATTAATGATCTTGAAATTTGCTTCATTTTATGTTTCTTTCAGAATTCCCCACTTTATCAATACTTACAGGATTTGGGACATACAGATTTTGAAATATGTTCATCTTTGTCACCAAACCCAGAAAAATGCCCAATGACAGAGGGACATCCAAAAACTCCCACCAGAGTCCTACCAAAAGTAAGAAAGTGTGCTTAGCTTTTATGGTTTAATCTTTTGTTCTTTGTCTTGCTACTTAAACTGTCTTCTAGGGCTGGGGATATAGCTCACCAGTAAGAGTGCTTGCCTAGCCCATGCGAGGCCCTGGATTCAGTGCCTTCCTTACACTAGTAAGACTGTTTTTTTATTTCATAAGTAATCAGAACTGTCTAAGATAAATTTCAGTCCTTACTGCTGTTCTGAACTTCGTTTTATTAATTTTTTGCATTATTTTATATGTGTGTGTGCATATGTGCAACAACCTGTGTGGAAGTCAGGACAGTGTGCAGAGTTGGTTCTGTCCTTCCACTGTGGGTTTCGGGGCTCAAACTTAGGTCATTGTGCTTGGCAGCAAGCTTATTTAGCTGCTGTCATCTTGCTAGCCTTGTGCTAAGCAGACATTCTACCACTGAGTTGCACCTCTAGCCCTACAGATTTTTTGGAAATTTATGTATAAAAATTGAACATGTTTAGGCACAGCTGTGAGCTGTGCTAAGATGTTGCTTCCAGAGTATAAGCCCTCATCCCTTGCTACTCTTTTGGATACCCTCAACATAACCAACATAACATATCTCATAGTCAAGCCAAGTAGTTGACCCTAAGATCCTGACTTAAGTGGGAGTATCTGCTGCGTACAACTTTGAACATAGTGGCACATCTGCCTTGACTTCTTTAGGCCTATGCAAGATCAGCAAATGTCTGTCCCAGTTTCCCACCCACTCTGAAGCTCTCTTATGAGCTGTGTTAGGAACTGAATATTATGTTTTCAAAACAGGTAGGGAGAGCAAGAAAAGACTTACCAAGGAAGAAAAATTGGACAGAACATTTAACATCTCTTACTAAATTTGCCAAGGATGACTCTGTATTCTTACATAAATAAATATTCTATTAATCCCTTAAAAAATGAGCATATTTATGGAGTCAGCACATCTTAACTTCCTCACTAACCTCTTTTCTTGTCCTAGACCAGAGCTTCCTAAACTTTTTCCATTCATGACCCCTTTAGCCCAAGAAATTTTTATGCAACTCTGTGTATCTAAGTATATATAAAACAGATAATCAAATCAAACACAGAAAATAAATCATAAGAAAATTTATTTTTTCAGAATGTAGCATTATCAGAAACCCTCAAAAAAAGAAAAGAAAATTTATTTTAACTCTTTGATATACATGTCATTCCACTTATTAAAGACAAAATCCAATTTATTTACTAATGATATTAATGTGCTTGCTTATTTTTACAAAAAATAAAATCTAGCATTAAATTCTGATACTTTAGGATAGAGAACATATTTAGTCCTTTTCAGAATTGGCTATTTTTAAATCTTTAAATTTATTTTTATTTTATGAGTATGAGTGTTTTCCTACATGTATGTGTGTGCCCCAGGTACATGCAATGCCTGCAGTTGTCAGAAGAGAGTATTGGATCCCCTGGAACTGGAGGTATAGATACTTGTTAGCTGCTGTGTGGGTGCTGGGAACCAAATCCAGGTCCTCTGTAAGAACAGCCAGTGCTCTTAACCACCGAGCCACCTTTCCAGCCCTTGATGTTTTTATTCTATAGTTTTCAGTGCCAAGAATGCTTCTTTGCATAGATACATACAAAATGTCAAACATGGTTTAGGGCCATTTCAGAAAATTTTGGAAATTCTGTCCTGATCCCAAACCAAAGATCATCTGATGATATTTTACAAAATTCAAGTCAGCAAATAAAACAGCAATTTTTCAACTCACATGTTTAAACTATACAATTCAAAGATGGAGTGATTTTATATTTACATGGATGCTGAAGAATGATGGTAGGAAAGTATTTAAAAATCCTACTTTCTGTAATTAGACCATTATTTTTCTGTAAGAGCAGAAAACTTTGTATATACAGTAAAAACAGTGCAGTTCATCTGAGCTGAGGTGTTTCAGGTCACGTTCCTGGTGTTGCGTGGCATGATGGCATGTGGAGTCCAAAAGCACATATGTGTTAAGTACTGAAGCTGCAGCAGAGTTGAGTTGTGCAACATAGGCAAGTGCTGGCAGAGCACCTCTGATTTATTGTGGTCATGATTTGGGTCATCATGCATTCAGTAACCTTTTACTCTTGCTATTTTTTGTTTTTTTGCCACTCCCATATTCAGTTACATGAATATGGGGTTCATGGCCTACAGTTTCAGAAGCTGGGTCCTAGACTGTGCTGCCAACCCTGCAGCATGTGTGTCCACAGCTCTCTTCGTCTTGTTTCCTTGCCTGGAGCACCCTCCCGGCTTTGTTGAATTGCTACCCATTGGTTGGGGCTAAGCTCTAGTGTTAACTGGTCTCTAACTTCTTTGCCTATATTTCTCTAGACTTTGTTATTGTTCTGTGACTTTTCTTCTTTACTGAGTTTTTAAAAATAGCGGTGATGTGCATTTGTCTTTGTTCCCATGACCATTGTAGTGCCTGGGATATAGTAATCACTAAGTGAGTGTAAACTAGATTTGCTGTCATGCTCAGGCAATGGCGCTATTAAGGTAAATTAAATATATGGTTATTTCAATAATAAAACTTCTGTTGTGTGACAGTTTTTCTAAAATGATTAAACTATATTTCTGCCTATATTTTATAAGGAAATGATATGAATATTGAGAATCTTTACCATACTGTAATTTCATTTCATTCTGAAATAAATATCTTCATCCTGTTAACAAAAATGACCTATAGTGGTCCCAAGATAAATGGGCTACATTGTAGTGACTGCTGGCTATTTTTTAAAAATCAGATTTCTATGCCTCATTCCAAAGCTGTTGAATAAGACTCTTGTTTAGAGGCCTAGGGATATAATTCCAACTTGATCCTGTTGTACAACTACAAAGTATGTCAGTCTGTGACATACTGATAGAGTGAATAAACAAAACACCTTTTTTCCCTTTTTCTGATAAAAACTTTGATCACGTAGAGGTAAATGATTTGAAGATTTTCTGACTTTTGGGTGTTTAATTAATAATCTTATATGATATCATTCATCTCCCTCAGCAAGGCATCCTGTTAAAACTGGCAGAAACCATCAAAAGTTGGATATTTTCTTCTTGGTGCAGTAAGAAGGATGACTTACTTCACAAGTTGGTGAGTGTTCTCCTTACTTTGTTTTGTCACTCTCCAGGGCCCTGTAAATCAGTGAGAGAGCTGAGGAATCCAAGCATGTTTTACAACTCATTTGGATGTGATTGATCTCTATTAGAAATTCTACAATAATGGGGATCCTTAAAATGGGCTTCTTGGTATTCATAGCTTCTATAAAGGGTTATTAGCCACTTTGAATGTAATAATCTAATAGTTACTGACACCTTGTTCGTTAGGCTATTAACTTATTATTGTCCTCTTCTCCATTGACAGGTATTCCCTCTTAGGAAAGAAGGGAATAAATAAAACTATTAGTGCAATCAATTCAGTCTTGAGGGACTGATTAATCGCCAGATTTCCCAGAGACTTGAATAGTCAATGTTGATGGCTTTTCTGGTTCCGTAAGACTTTCTTCCCTCCCTTTTCTCTTACCCTCCCTCATTTTACGCTAATACACCTGTTGCTTGGCCAAACCCCTAAAGGAGGCATAGTCAGCCTTCCTGGAGCTAACAATATAAAATCCATGTAGTATTCCTAAAACATTCAAATTACAATAAGCAGGTTTGAGGATTGTCTACTGGTCTGTGATGCTAAGAATTAGCATTCTTTTTTTTTTTTTTTTTTTTCATCTTTTTGAGACAGGGTCTCCCTATAGCCCCAGCTGGCCTGGAACTTTGCTGTCTAGACCAGGCTGGCCTCAAACTCACAGAGATCTGCCTTCCCTCTGCCTCCCAAGTGCTGAGATTAAAGGCATGTGCCACCATGCCCAGCCTAGAATTAGCATTCTTTTTAAATTAACCTTTATAAAGAAATCATTTATGAAGTATTCACATTTTGATTTGTTACTCAAAACCACACTATAAGACTAGGTATGTCTTCCAGTGAGAGAAAACCAATGTTTGAGCAGCTTGGCCTAGCAATTTATTAAGTGAATATTCATCAAGCAAATGATGGAGAATTTGAACCCAGGTCTCCTGATTCCAAAGCTCATGCTCTTTCTAAATATAAATGTGCTACTTGTGTATTAATAATTCCTTAATCAAAATTACTTCTTTAGATTCCAAATTATGATGTTCTCTATTCAGGGTTTCATTTTTGTAAAAGGTGTATTAAGGTCAGTGGCATGCCTTATCATCTATGTAGATTATCATCTTTGTCTAAGTGGAACCATCTCATTCCTCAGTGACACTAGGATGTGGTAAGGTACATGGATCATGTGCATTTTTCTGTGCTTTAATTGTAGTTTGCATAGTGTGATCTTTTCATTCCTGGTTTGTTGCAATTAGCCACGTATTTCATGTCATGTTTCACTGTAGAGTGTGACCTCCTTTATGCATCCCCTTTGTGCCTGGATTATGGAGAATTATGGAACATATAACCAAAGAAATGATTTACTGGTGATGAAACAAGGAATTTTCCAGATGGCTTCTGGTGTAAGGTTGCTTGACACCACCCCCCCCACACACACTGATGTGATATATTTAAATTTGTTAGCTATTCAGATATTGAAGCCGATCTTTCCTTTTATAACAATAATGGCAAATGACATATGGTATTTGAACATTTTACTATTATTCATTTTTATTGCTTTTCTTAAAGATTAAAAAAATGCCTTATAGTGATTATGATGGTAGTGGTAGTAACTCTTTTAAATAACTTTTAGCCTATCTTTCACATGTTGTTTGATTTGATTATCTCATCAATGTTATTTAGAAATGTAAGATCATCAAAGTATATTGATATACATGAATAAGTTCCATTCTCCATTCCTGTAGAAATATCTGTATCAATCTTTCCATTCTTTAGCTGTGTCTTCCCATGTCCTTTTCATATAACTCAGGGAGAAATCTTAGTAAGTTACTTTTTTATGCCACTCCCCTACTTAGCTCCAAAGAAGTCTCCATTATTCATCAAATCAGGTCCAAATTCATCATTTCAACCTTGAAGAGTCTGCATAGTTTAACCTTAAATTCCGTTTCCAGCTTTGTCCACTGATAGTTTCATCCATGAATCCAGCCTTCCCTTTCCTTTATCCAATTCTTACTCCCTGTAATTATGTTTGTGCTGTTACACTGATGAAGTTCTTCCCAATTTTCCCTCAATCTGTTATAATCTTTTCAATAAATAATCCTAGCTATTCTTTAAGGCTTTTCTCAAAACTTCATCTTATTGGCTCTCTTATTTCCTTCATTAACCTAGTAATACTTATTTATGCTGTGTTAGGTAAGTGTTTGTGTTATGTTCAATATGCTTTTTTACTTTTTAATTATTTCCTAATAGCTAACACTTACATAATACTTCTTAGCATATTAATTCTATGAAGAGAAGAATTAAAGAGGAGACACTCTTCTTAGCATATTTAATTCTATGAAGGAAGTACTATTCTTATCCCCATTTTGCAAATGAAGAAATTGTCAGAGAGAAGTTATTAACTTGCTTAAGTTGTGGAGCCAAGTACAAGCCTAGGTACTTAAGTTTTGGCACTCAAATTTGTTGAAAGTGAGTCAGTTTATATAGCACCCCAACAATAGCTCAGAGCTCCCAGCTATACAGATTACCAGTGTGCCCTAAGTTAGTTAGCTAACTTAAGAAGAAGAAGTTCTGGTATACTACAGCACAGTAGAGTGTCTATAGCTATCAGTAATATACTGTACATTTTTTAAAACATAAAAAAGTTAGAAAGTTCACCATATAGAAGTGATAAATGTTGAGTAGACATGTTTAACCTGATTTAAGCATTCTACAATGTGTGTATCAAAAATTACGATACTCCATTAATATAACTTTATATTGTTTTGTTTTAGTTTGCTTCTGCTTTAGTTTTATTTTTGTTTGAGACAGATTTTCACTCTAGCCTAGGATAGCCTGGAACTCACTGTGTAGCCCATCCTGGTCTCAAATATGTGGATATCCTCTTACATCAACCTCCCAAGATGACAAACGTGAGTCATCATGCCCACTTTAATTTTATGTTTTTATGTACTAGCTAAAAAACAAACAAGGGTCAACAAAGTGGCTCAGTGTGTAAAGGCACGTGCTGCTAAGTCTGACAGTCTCATTTTGCCTTGGACCCACATGGTGGAAAGAGGGAATTGACTCCTATGAGTTGTCCTCTGACTTGCAAGTGTGCCCACACACATACAGACACATACTATAGATGATAGATAGATATATGATAGGCAGATAGATAGATAGATAGATAGATAGATAGATAGATAGATAGATAGATAGATAGATGTAATAAAAATAATTTTTAAAGACTTAAGCTTTGGAGTCAGAATTCTGAAAAGATCTCTCTCTCTCAGCTTCAGTTTTCTCCTCTATATAGTCAAAAGAAAAAGTAAATGCATATCACAAAGCTGCTGTGAAAATTAACCTATCTGTCCCCAACGGCTGCCTCATCTCTCACTGTTGTTCTGTGTCACAACTGATAGCAGATGACTTCCACTTTCCCAAATTAGACAGACTTTAATTCTCTTTCACCTTTCCAATTCTGATCTGGTCAGTTTTGATCACACTTTAAGACTAGCTCAGTTGTTAACTTTCTAACTTTCTCTGACCTTAAATTTGCTCCTTCTGTGCCATTTATGTGTTTCAGTGCACTAATGTGTTTCAGTGCACTTTTTGAAAAAATAATTTGTGCGTTCATGCCTGTGTGTGTGTGTGTGTGTGTGTGTGTGTGTGTGTGTGTGTGTGTGTGTGACATGTGTGTGGGTGCCCTTGGAGACAGACCAGAAAAAGGACATTGGATCCCCTGGAGCTGAAGTCAGAGACAATTGTAAGCCGCCTGACATGGGTTCTGGGAACTGAACTCAGGTCCTGCAAGAGCAGTAAATACTCTCAGCTGCTGAGCCATTTCTTCATCACCTTCAATGTACTTTTTTTTTTTTTTTTTGGTCTTTTTGAGATAGGGTCTCCCTGTAGGCCCAGCTATCCTGTAAACTGGCTGTGTAGCTGATCTTACAGAGATCCACCTGCCTCTGCCTCCTGAGTGCTAAGATTAAAGGCATGCACAACCTCTCCTGGCATTCAATGCACATTTTTATTGTAACCATTTACTTTTGGTTTTCTCGGATGCTTTAAGAGTAGGGACTTATGGGCTAGGGGTGTGGCTCAGTGGTAGACCACTTGCCTAGCATGCCTGAGGTATGATTTTCAGCATTGGCAAAAGAAGAGACTTGAATGTCTTGGTGGTGTTGGTTTGTTGGGTTTGTTTTTTTGTTTTTTGTTTTTTGTTTTTTTTGCAGGGGGGTCTTCAGTATCAAGCAGGGTACCTGACTTATAGAATATATTCTTTGACAGATGGATAGAAGAAAGGGAGGCATAAATGAGCTAGTGTATGTGGAGGCATTTTGTAAGTTATAAAATGCCTAAGTGATGTTACTGTAGTTTTGTGTTACATACATTGGTGATGTATTTTTAAGTATCTGAGTATTCATTTTTAGAAGGCCTTGATGCCACTGATAAAGTTACATATTAGCACTGTTGTCATAGTATATAGTGTCAGAATCGTTTGTTGTTATATTTTCTGTGTGTTATGTTTTCCACATTACATACCAGTTTTTTAACTAAGCAAGCATAAATAACTAGACTTACTAATCTGCCATTACTTTGCATCTTATTATTAATGTTTTTATATTTATCCATTTATTTTTATTTTATGTGCCTGAGTGTTTTGCCTGCATGTGTGTAAGTGCGCCCATGTCATGAAATGCCCACAAAAACCAGAGAGGGCATCAGATCCCCTTGAATTGGAGTTATGAACAGTTGTTAGCTTCCATGTGGATTCTGGGAACCAAACCCAGGTCCTCTGCAAGGGCAGCCAGTGCTCTTACCACTGAATCATCTCTCCAGCTCTCATTATTAAAAATTTATGTATAAAACCTGGCAGCTTAATAATGTCTACCTCAGTTTTTATTACTTTATTATTTCACAGTTACAGTGAAAATTAAACCTCATCTGTTGTTTCTTGAATTCTTTTTTTTTTTTTCCGGTATTTTTGAGACAGGGTCTCCTTGTAGCCACAGAGGGCCTGGAACTCGCTTTGTAGACCAGGCTGGACTTGAATTCACAGAGATCTACTTGCCTCTGCCTCTGCCTCTGCCTCCCAAGTGCTGGGATTAATGGCGTGCCCACCACACCCAGCGTTTCTTAAATTCTATACTGATAATAAATACCTCTAACTTTTATTATATATTAAAGCTTAGCATTTAATACAATATTATGTATGTATTTATATCTCTCTTCCTGTCTTTTAATGGCAAGGATACTGGGTTCCGACTGGACTCACTACATACTATCCTGCAACAGGAAGTCCTTTTACAAGAGGATGTGGAGCTAATTGAGCTACTTGATCCCAGCATCCTGTCTGCAGGGCAACCTCAACAACAGGAAAATGGACACCTTCCAACACTCTGCTCCCTGGCAACTCCTAACGTTTGGTACTGTCAAGAAAACAGTTATCTCTTGTCTGCTTACATACAGCATATTAGCAGAAGAAATATATCATAATATTCACTATTGTAAAGTTTTTATACATTCCACATATTTAGGATTAACAATGAATGTAGTGGTTTGGCAGAGATTTAAAAAAAAAATGTGCCCAAGGCAGGAAAAAAAAAGGTATATATTACTGACTCAGTGAAATTAGTTATTTGTTTGGCATCTCAACCCACAGGGATAAATATGCTAAAAGGAATCTCTTACCAATGCACCTGAGAGGATGTGTACATGTAAACCTTAGCCAGATTACATCATAGCTATGCTTCAGAGATTACTATAGATTGGAACATCAAGATTAAACACTCAATTATTGCCATGTTGGCTGAGATGAGAGATGAGATCATAGGCAACATAACTAATGATTTTAACTATTCTAAAACTTACCTGGTAGACTGAGGCAGGAGGATTATAGGAGATGAGGAGTTAGCACTATTCTGGGCAACATAGTAAATATCTTATCTCAAAAAAAAACCACAAAAATCCTGAAACATTTCAGCTACTTGAAATATTTTGGTCTAGTGCAAAAATCCTAGGCCATTATCTCTTTTAAATTTTTACTTATTATTAATATTATTATTATATTGGTCTTTTTGAGACAGGGTCTCCCTGTAGTCCCAGATGGCCTGGAACTCATTATGTAGACCAAGCTAGCCTTGAACTCACAGAAATCCCCCTGCCTCTGCCTCCTCAGTGCTGGGATTAAAAGCATGTACTACCACATCTGGCTTACTTTTTAATTATGTGTATTTGTATCTGTCTGTATGTGGGTATATGTACATGACTGCAGATGCCTTTGGAGGCTAGAGGCATCAGATCCCCCTGGAGCTGGAGTTACAGGCGGTTGTGAGCTGCCTGGCATGGATGCTAGGAACTAAACTCAGGTCCTCTAGAAGAGTAGTATATGTTCTTAACCTCTGAGCCAGTCTCTTCAGCTCCTCTTTCAGATTTTAAGAAAAGAAGAGATGGGGCTGGAGAGATGGCTCAGAGGTTAAGAGCTCTGGCTGTTCTTGCAGAAGACCCAGGTTCAAATCCCAGCCCCCACATGGTTGCTAACAACTGTCCATAACTCCAGTTCCACGAGTTCTGACTCCCTCTTCTGTCCTCTGCAGACTTTGCACAACATCATGGGTGCACTTGCATATATGCACACAAGTAGACACATACACATGAAATAAAAGTTTAAAGCAAAAAAAAAAAAAGAAAGAAAGAAAAGAAAAGAAGAAATAAAGTAAAATAAATACTTAAAGGGATTATACATAGGGAGCTGTTGTCTTCTTCCAATTAGTTTATTGGGTTTAACAGAGAACGGAGAAATGAATCAAGAAATATACTGCCCATACTGTCCAAGTTACACAGGTAGATACTTTAACTGGCCTGTGTTCTGAATTTATATTTCCTGTTACATTGTAATGGATTGCTAAGTATGTTTCCCAAGTCTGTAGTCACCTAAATATCATGAGGAAATAACATTTTTTTTTCTTTTAAAATCTAAGCATTTGCAGGGCTAGAGAGATGGCTCAGTAGTTAAGAGCACTGACTGCTCTAGCAGAGGACCTGGATTCAGTTCCCAGCACCCACATGGCAGCTAATAACTGCACTTAACTCTAGTCCCAGGGGATCCAATGCCCTCTTTGGTCTTCTGAGGGCATTGCACAACACAGGTGCACTTACATACATGCAGGTATAACACTCATCACATAAAATAAAAATAAGGCAAGAGGATTGCTTGAAGCCCCAGTTCAAGATCAGTCTAGACAATACAGTGAAGAAAACCTGAAAAACCACAAAAATATGTATTTGTTTGTACATTGTAAATGTGTATGCATAAGAATTTAAAGATATGCTAAGCATATATTTTAATAATATTTTAAATATTTATGGAGCTAGGGCAGTAAGTGAAGTCACTAAAGCACTTGCCATGCAAGCGTGAGGACCCAAATTTAATCCAGAACGCACACCAAAAAAGATGGACATGGTGGTATATGTTTGTAATCCCAGCAGTGGGGAAGCAGAGACAGGCAGATCCCTGAGGCTGACTGGCCAGACAGCCTAGCCTACTTGAAAAGTCAAAATAACAAGGTAGATGGCACCTGAGGAATAACACCTGAAGTTGACCTCTGGTCTCCACATGCATCCATACATGTACATGAGTACATACACAGATTGAAGTGTTAGCTGCAAAGGCACTTTAGCCATAGGGTGGATAAGCAATTAAGAGAACCCATAAATGCTTTTAGACTTTGTCATTGATATGTAAAAGTATATGATGAGATTTTGCTTTGTGGTATCAAGATCGTCTTTAAAAAGTAATTCTAAGAGAACTTAGGACTAACCTTTATTAAGAAGCATTTTCTATGCAGGGAGATCTTACTGGGTAACGTGCTGCACAAGCATTAGGGTCTGAATCCAGATCCCCAACACCCACATAAAAGCCTAAAAGCCAGGCATGGTGGTGTGTGCCTACCCTCACACTGTGGGGTTGGAGACAGGCAGATCCCATCAGTCTAGCCAAAATGGCGAGTTTCAGGTTTGGGAAAAGGATTATCTGAAAAAATAAGGTAGAGAGCAATAGAAGATGACACCCATTGTTGATCTCTGGCCTCCACATGCACAGGTGAGCCACACCCCTACACATGCTCACACACAAGAAGCAGTCTCACATTTGACTTTCTTTGAGTGTGACTACAACTCCAAGTATTGTTGATGTTGTTTTTCACATGTTTTTGGATACATTCCCCTATAGTCTTGTCTTCCTTGTATGTGTATTTCACCAAAGTTTTCATTGCTCAAAATATTTTAGTCCATTAGGTTTGTAATTAACCTGAATTTAAAAATTACACATTTTAAAATTTTAAATTAATGTAATGAAACTTGTCTACTTCATGATCTATGGCAAGAGTGGTTTTTTTTTAAGTTAGTGATGATTATTTAATTAGATGACTTTATTCAGTCATCCAAGTATTTTTTTTTTTATTGTTTTGGTTTGGTTTTGATTCTTTGAGACAGAGTTTTACTCTGTACCCCAGGCTGGCCTGGCGCTTGCTCTGTAGGCCAGTCTGGCCTCAGACTTACAGCAGTCCTACTGCCTCATCTCCTGAACACCAAGATTACAGGAGAAAGCCACCACATTGGCTCTTTCTATTTTGGGGAGGGGTGTATGTGTTTGTTCTTTTTTAAAATCTTGCCCAGTCTCCTGAGTGCTCGGATTATAGACATGAACCATTATAGCTACAAATGTGGCATAGAATAGCTTCTATGATAATATGTGTTTATGGAAATGGTTTTATTAAAAGGAACTCACAATATATCTAAAATGGTATTTTTACTTTTAAATCTGTAAAATTGTATTTTAAAAACTATAATTTGCTTCTTATATTCCATGAGTCTTTAAAAAGTGATTTCGAGGGCCTGGCGTGGTGGTGCATGCCTTTAATCCCAGCACTTGGGAGGCAGAAGCAGGCAGATCTTTGTGCATTCCAGGCCAGTCTGGTATCTTTATATCAAATGTCCTTTACCTAAATCCATTAGCTCAGATTTTAATACCTAAGCATCATTGTCTGACAGATGCTAGATATTTTAAACTATTTCAGATCACCTGTTATGGCTAGCTGTGGTGATACAGCCTTTAATCCCAGCACTAGAGAAGCAGAGGCAGATGGATCTCTGTGAGATCATGGTCTACATAGTGAGTTCTAGGCCAGCCAGGGCTACATAGTGAGACCCTCTCTCAAAAAAACAAAACGGACTGGAGAGATGGTTCAGCACTTAAGAGCACTGACTGCTCTTGCAGAGGACCCAGGTTCGATTTTCAGCACACAAATTGCTGCTACAAACTGTCCTTAACTCCAGTTCCAGGGGAATCTGAAGCCCTCATCTGACCTCTGCAGCATTGCATGACATGGGTGCACTCACATACATGCAGCCAGTACACTTATACACATAAAATAAAAATAATAAATAAAATATTAAAAAAACAAAAGTCAAATCACCCTATTATATATGTCATAGTTTTTAAGTCATGCTTCACAATGAAGATAGCATTTAATCTGTTCTAATAAACCTAAGCTTATAGTTGCTCCTCCTGATTAAAGTGACTGATGACTGTCTTTTCCTTGGTCTCTGTGTTGTAGGGATGTCTCCATGCTCTTTGCCTTCATTAGTTTCCTCATTATGCTTCCCACCTGGTGGATTGTATCTTCCTGGCTGGTCCGGGGAGCAATTCTGTTTCTTTACTTGATCATACAAGCTTTGAAACTATGGAGGACAGCCAAACAGCAAGTGGAGCTGAAAAAATACAGTGTCTGTTTAGAAGATATGGCAGCAAATAGCCGAGCATTCACGAACCTTGTGAGAAAATCTTTACGTCTCATCCAAGAAACGGAAGTCATCTCCAGGGGATTCACTCTGTGAGTTCACTTTGCATTTTACTTTCCTTTCTACTACATACTTGAAGGAGGCTATCATCTATTTTTATTTTTGTGTTACATTTACATAGGGGAACGTATATAGTCTATTAACTAGTAAATGAAGGGATAAATGAAGGATAAGCTAGATCTAATGTGTAGTATTGTTCTGCTTACCTACTTGAAGAAATCAAACTATTTTGAGAATCATAATTATTTTCTTCTATTTCTTTGTCACCATGTGAGATAATAATAAGAGTGCCTAACACTAAACTTTGTATGCAGTGAGTACCCAATAGATATTTGCATCCATTATTCTCTATCAAAAGTTCTCTTTCCCCAGTTTAAGTGGTAGATGTACCTGACATGAGTTCATTTTTAAAAACCATTAGCAGGCATTATAGCACAGGTACTTTCAAAATATCAGGCTAATAGTGGTATTTCATATTCCATGGGAAACTATTCAGCATTCTAGCTGTAAATACTTATACTGAGGATATACTGGTTACTTATCAAGGGGAAAGTTGCAGTCCTAGGGAGATAGCTCAGTAGGTAAGAGCGCTTGCTATACATGCATGAAGACCTGAGTTCAAATCCCTTGCACCCACGTAAAAAAACAGACATTGCCACATGTGCACCTGTAGCCCCAGTCCTGTCAGGCAGGAGGATTGCTGGTACTTACTGGCCCCAGCCTAGCTCCAGGTTCAGTAATGGACCCTGTCTTAAGAGAATAAGGTAGAGAGTGATAGAGTAGGACACCTAACATCCTTTTCTAGCCTCTGTGCACACACTGGCATGTGTGCTCACATATACATAGGCATATACCATAACACATACACACACACACACACACATACACACACACACACACACTGAGGAAAATTACACATATTGCAGAACCATTATGTTCATATACTATGCTAGTCATTTTTGCATACAACTAAATACACGCAGTTCTAATAGAGCAAATATTCATGTCCATCTCATCTGACTTAAAAGCCTAGTTCTAGTTGGACATGATGGCACATGACTTTGATCCCAGCACTTGGGAGGCAGAGGTGGGTGGATCTCTGAGTTCAAGACCAGTCTGGTCTACATAGTGAGTTCCAAGCCAGTCAAGGTAGCCAGGAGCTACCAGAAGACCCTGTCTCAAAAAGACAAAAAAAAAAAAAGCCTAGTTCTAGTACAGTAGGCTGCTTACTAAGTGTTCACAGATAGCAGTGAGACTATAGAATATTTAATAATTTGTGTAATTTTATTAGCATATATTAGTTATATGATGAGTTTCATTATATTTTCATACATGTATATAATGTATTTCAATCATATTCACCTCCTGTCACCCTCTATATAACATTTTGAACCATTGCTGTAGTTGGGGAACACAAGTGTATAGTGAACTATCATCATTGCTATTAGTTGAATTGAGAAAATAATGAAAAAAAGACTGAAATGCCTCTGGTAAGAGTCTTCACACCAGTCATCTTGCTCTGCTCTAGAATAATACTTCATCTTGCCCTAAAACCTGTATCTGGAAAATCATGGAACAGAGAAATGTCACCACGTTCCTTGCTCTCTGGTGCTCTGTACAGCAATCCTGAGTGTTTAAATGGTATAGAAGGATCTTGTACCTTCTGCTCAATGCAAAGTAATCCTCTGTGTATTGATTTTGTCCTTCTATTAGGATAGATCCACTTCCTGGTGGCAGAGGATAGCAGATCTTTTAATGGTTTGTCAAATTTTTAAAATTAAAAATTACACTTAAATGAAGTAATATCTCCTTTTCATTGTTGACTCACACAGCATTTTATTGAGAGGACTGACTGATGAGCCAGTGCTTAGACATGTATACAAGATTTTGTGACTTTTTGTTATTTTCTGACTTGTACCCATATCCACGGAATTAACATGAAAAGGTATAGTAGTCCATTAAGCATGCTTTACCGTCTGGTTGTGCATTTGTGCCCATTCAAATGGCAGATAGGTAAAAGAAGTATTGAGAGAAATCACATTTGTTTCCATCTAACTAGACAGTGGATTGAAAAATAATGAGGAAAAATAAATCTTGACTCATCATTTTTTAGAAATATTTTCAGCTTGTAAAATTAGCACAAGCAATTGTATAAAGTATTGAAATCAGGAGTGGTTTGTTTCTGCCTCAATTTTTCCTCTCTAGCAAATAATTTAACCTTCCTTTGCCTATTCCTTCATTTCAAAATAAACCTGTCAGTCATTGTCCGTATATTTTAGTTTGATGTAACAGTTTAAAAGTTTTGAATTCAGTGTCTTTTTATAGATTTATGGTTGTAATGAAGAAAATTTATAAATACCATATTTTATTTTGCTATTGGAAGAGGTTGCTGATTATGTTAAAAAAATGTAAGATTTAATCTGATTGGTAAGAAAACTTCCCAAATTTGAATATGTTTTGTTGTGTAGATTATACAGTGCAGTAAATCATTTTGAAAAATAAAAAAATAATTACCTAATAACTACAATATTTAATCCTGCATACTTTTCAGTTATAAAGCAGCACATTGTATGCCATTGATGCAAATAAATACTTTCCATTAACCTCAAGGAAAGTACCATGAAATGCACTCCTCTTCAGTAGTGTTTGAAAGCAGTTCCTGCCATACAGTAACCCTTCCTTTGCCTTTCTACTTGCATCCCCTGTTGGCCACTGGTCCTGTTACCTTTCTGCGTCTCCTACTTCCTTTGAGTAGGTAAGTGCCAGTGGCAGCAGGTGGGTAAGTAAGTAATTTTGCCCTATGTTTATGAATGTACAGAATGTATTTCTGTATAGTATTTAATTATTCTGTACAAGTGACCAAATACGTGATATAAATGTATATTTAAAATGTGAAAGTGTTGATAATTCAGCCCTTCAGACAGCCAGTAGACACAATTTTCAAAACTGTAAAGTAGTTCCATATTAGTGTTTTTTAGCAGGTAGACTACTACATTTTTATTCTATCTTGGTTAAAATTCATTGTTTCCATATTTGACTAAACCTTTTTTCAGATTTTGAATTTTCAGTTGTCTCTCTTTTTTTGTGTAGCTATGTGTGTGTTAAGAAAATCACTATGGCACCTGATTTGAGATGTCTATAATAATTTTCTAATGAAAATTATGAGAAAGGAATTTTCTCTGAGTTTGATAGAATTGTGGATTTAGGAAACACAAACTTTAGGACACCTGTACAGTTGTATCACATTTTACTTTTCAAGTTTGCTTGACAGGGTGAGTGCCGCTTGCTCCTTTAATAAAGCTGCCCAGCATCCCAGTCAGCACCTCATCGGCCTTCGGAAAGCTGTCTACAGAACTGTAAGAGCCAACTTTCAAGCAGCAAGGCTAGCCACCCTATACATGCTGAAAAAATATCCTTTTCTGTCTCTATGTGAGAAGCAGCAATATTTCCAAAGTCCTGAATATTACAGTTGCATCCTGTACAAGTTAACTATATATTGAGATCACCTATTTCAAACCCGATGTCTGTCATCACTTCCATTTTAAAATGCATTCCAGGGGAACAATAATTACAGACAGAAAGAAAGTTCTGTCTTTGCATGGATCATTTACTATAACGGGAAAAAAATCTTGAAGTTCTTCTTTCACACTAAAAATAAAGTCAAAGAGCCTAGCTTTGTTAGATGTGACGTTTTAAGAAAATGAGTGACTGTGGTAAATTAGTGCCACGACATGGTAATAAACTGACAACAGGAAATCCTTCCCCTTTCAAAAAGCGGGCTCTAGAGTTGAATTGCCTAAATTCAAATTTTGGCTGTATAAGTTATTACCTAGGTGACCTTAATTAAACAAGCTTCTTAACTTTTCTCTATTTTGTCTTTAAAATGGCAACAATACCATAACCTTCTGCATTGTATTTTTGTTCAGGTTGAGGAGTTAATGCATGCAAAGTGAATAGACAGTATCTAGCTTGTAGGAAGTGCTCAAAGATTCCGTGACATTGTCATTTAAATTGATTAAGTTAGGGAAGTAGTTCCCTTAGGAAATAAAAGTGCATACAATCTGTTTAATTACTGTTCATAAATGTGTTAATTTATGAATAAATAGAGGCCTAAAAACTACTCTGTGCTTTCAGTATGCTGGGTACTGTAACATTGATAATTATAATGCTTCGTGTTTACAGATGCTTCATGTTCTAGCAGTACATGCTTTATACAAACCTTCCTAAATGTATTATCTTTATGAAAACAAAAGTAGAAGTTAGGTGACTCACTTAGTCACACAGCTAGTAATAAGTAAATTAAAATGATTATGACTTATAACTTACAACTACATAATATATATATAAACATTATATATACATGTATATGCACCTATACTTATTTTATTTTATTTTATTTTATTATTTTATTTTTTGAGACAGGGTCTCTCTGTAGCCCCAGCTGGCCTGGAACTCACTATTGTAGATGACCTTGAACCACAGAGATCCACCTGCCTCGGCCTCCCAAGTACTGGGATTAAAGGCGTGCACCACCACTCCCAGCTGTGTGCTACTTCTTTGAATATGGAGAGAAAACATTTTAATTCTCTTCAAAACCTTGCACATCTATTTCCCCCACTGCATAAAATGCCTGCCTGCTGTGTCTAAAGCACTCTTCCAGATGTTAAGGAGACAGTAAAAACATGTACTACCACTTTTGAATGTGATCAATGGATAAGCCAGTATTAACAATACGGTAGAAATGCTCAAGGTACCTTCCAACACAGCAGGACAGTGTACTTGACTTACGGAATTAAAGAAGGTTTTCAGGAAATTGACACCTGCATTGGCTTTCAAGGAATGAATAGAAGGTGATCATGAGGCTGAGTCTGCATTCCAGGTAGCAAGAAACAAAAGCATATGGAAAGAAACAGATTTTGACAGTGGCATGTGAACTACAAGTCGCTGTTCATTGAATGACTGTTTCTTTTATTGTTGTTGTTTTGGCTTTTTGAGACAAAGTCTCCCTGTAGTCACAGTTGGCCTGGAACTCCCTATGTAGACCAGGCTGGCCTCTCTCTCACAGAGATCCACCTGCCTCTGCCACCTGGAATACTGGGACTAAATGCATGCACCACCACTGCTTTGTGGAGTGTAAGTTCACAGTGGAACAAATGAATGCAAATTCTTATGCCACCTAATTTGCTAATACTGAGGACCTTACAGTGAACAAGGTAGACGAGATCTCTCTTGCAATGACACTTACCTTTCAATGGGTGGGATAATTAAAAATGAACAGTTAAATTTGCAGACATAATTACTGTAAAGGAGATGGCCTGGGGATATAGGACAGAGAGCTATTGATGGTGCTACATTTGATTGGCTGGTAAAACACCTCTCTGAGGAACTGGCACTGAAACTGAGACTTGAATGATGAGAAAGATCTAAGGGAAGTATATTCCTTTTAGATTGATCAGAGAGTATAAAGATCTTGTGGTGAGAGGCAAAGTATAGAAAGAAGATCAACATAACTAGAGCACAGTAATGACGTTGGAGTATGAAATGAGATCCAGAGGTGGGCAGAGGCCAGATTGTATACTCTAGACAAGAAATCCTAGGAAGGCACCCATAAACCATTTCTTTGAAAAGGCTAAAAAGATAAATAAACCTCATATGACCTACAAAGTAAATAGCAAAAATATACAAGATTAATAATGAGAGCATAATATAACCACAGATGAAGATGTTTGTAAAGAGGTGGTTTGTGCAACTCCTTGATTGCAGCTTTGAAAGTATAGGAGAAAATGGTTCACTTCTTATCAAAATACAAATCTCCAAAACTGACCCAAGAAGAATTTAAAAACAAGAGACTACCTAGATATATGGAAAGAATAGAAAATATGCAATTATTAAAAGGCAAAATATAGCAATGAAGCTGGGCATTGTGATTCATGCTTGTTGAGCAGTACTCAAGTGGCAGAGGCAAAAGGATAAAAGTTCAAGGACCGCATGGGCTACACAGTGAGACTCTGTCTTAAGAAACAGGGTTCTTCATGCGGGGTGTGGTGGCGCACACCTTTAATCCCAGCACTCGGGAGGCAGAGGCAGGCGGATTTCTGTGAGTTCAAGGTCTACATAGTGAGTTCCAGGACAGCTGGGACTACAGGAAGACCCTGTCTCAAAAAGACCGAAAAAAAAAGAAAAAAAGAAAAAAGAAATAGGGTTCTTGACACTCTAATATAGAAAGATCTCTAGTGAATAGCAGTTACAGAACCCTTTCACCTGTGCATAAAAAGTACTGTGTACAGATACGTGAATAAGTGTTTATGTTTTGTGTGCATTTTCATTACATGCCTCCAAACATCCACAAATTTATGTATGGATTTGCTTTTTTTATATGCAAAAAATATCTTAAAGTATCCATAAGACATAGTAACAAGGATTGCCAGTGGCTTTGAGTAGGACAACTACATGGCTAAGAGATAGGAATAAAAGGCAGTTTTCATTGTACCCGTTACACTTCATGAATTTTCAATCCTGTATTTCCTATTCAAAAGCTAATTTTTTAAAGTTATGTAATGCCACACACTTATCTCAACACTTAGGAGGCTGAGAACCACAAGTTTAAGGCTAGCCTGAGCTATGTAGGAAGTTCCAAGCCAAACCAGGCTACATAGTAAGACCATCTAAAAACAAAACAAAACTGCAGTAATATAATTCACTTATAAGTAGATTATAGCTAAAAGAAAAAATGTCCAATTCGTAAAGTTTAAAAGCTCCCCTCTGTCATTTTACTTACTTAGATAATGCTGTTCTAGTTCGCTTCTCTATTGCTGTGGTAAAACCAACTTGGGGAAGAAAAGGTTTATTGCATCTTACACTTCCCAGTGACAGCCCATCTTTAAGGGAAGTTGCTCAGGAACCTGGAGGCAGGAAGTAAAGCACAGACCATGGAGAACTGCTGCTTACTGGCTTCCTCCTCAGGCCTGTGCTCAGCCTGTTTTTTCTTTTGTTTTGTTTTCTTTCATTTTGTTCTTTTTAAGACAGGGTCTCCCTGTAGCCCCAACTGGCCTGGAACAGACTTTGTAGACCAGGGTGCCTTGAACTCACAGAGCTCCACCTGCCTTTGCCTCCGAAGTGCTGGGACTTAAGGCATGCACCACCATGCCTGGCATCTCAACTTGTTTCCTTATATAGCCCTGGACCATCTGGCCAAGGGTGGCATCACCCACAGTGGACTGGGCCCTTCCACGTCACTCAAAAACAAGAAAATACCTCACAACATACCTACAGGCAAATCCTCTAGAGGAAATTCTCCAACTGAGGTTTCTTCTTACCAGGTGTGTCAAAGCCAACCATGGCAAATCTTAATATCTAAGCATGATGTATTACAAAGAATAAAAACTACAGGCCAATCTCACAGAGATACATTTAGTAGAATATGTATCTATCTAGTTTAAGACCAGATCAAAAGATTATCATAATACAGTCAAAAGGCAAATCCTAGAAATGGAAGGATGATTCAGTATCAAAAGTTATATCAAGAATAGGAATAATGCTATGGAAAAATGAAAAAGGAAAATTATTTTTTTGTTGATGTTGATATGTCTGAGAGGAAGATAACAGAAGATGTGACAGTATATATCAAACAACCTAGAGCTGGCTAGTGTTAATTTCTCTCAGTAGTCTGTGTAATGTCCAGATAATGATGTCCTACACTATGCAGAGGGGCAAAGAGAATTATTTACTGTAGCATAGTGAGGGCCTGAGCCATTACCCAGAAAGGACAAAATACAGCTTCAGAAGGTAGGTATCAAAAATAACTGAGAGGGGCTGGAGAGATGACTCAGTGGTTAAGACCACTGACTGCACTTGCAGAGGACCCACGTTCGATTCCCAGCACCCACATGGCGACTAACAACCATCTATAACTCCACTTCCAGGGGATCCAACACCCTCTTGTGACCTCCACAGGAACTGCACAACATGGGTGCACTTATATCCATGCAGGTAATACACTCATACACATATTTTTCAGAATAGGAGGAAGTTTATTGAGTGCACTCAAGATGGCAGCAAGCTGGGTAGTAACTAGAGTAGTACTTGCCTACTTTTAATGATTAAAACATAGAAAATCTTATTCAAAGTAGCACACAAGATATCTGAGTGTTTTATTACTGTGTTGGATTTTAAGATTAAATTCTTTAAAAACTGGTATAAAACTCAGTATAAGCTTATAATGAAATTAATAAGTATAATTTTGGGTGTTTTGACTCTTTTATGCTTTAATGAAGCGTTGTTGATTGCCTTAACCTAATTTAACCCACCCCCTGAACTCTGAGAGCGACAATGTTACCAACTACATTTGTGTGGTGCCTTTTAAGGAACTGGGCCTTGGACTTAGTGAAGAACAGATTTCAGAAGAGGAAGCACATAACTTCACAGATGGCTTCAGCCTGCCAGCCTTAAAGGTAATTTGTTGGAAGGAAGGATTGAGGAAAAGACACAAGTGCCTGGATTGTGCCTTTGCTCTCTGACACAAGTGATGCTCCTGTTCTCCCTCCTTGTTTGCTAAATATCATTGCTAGGAATACTTTAGTGATGTTTGTGACACTGCCTTTAAAAGCTGAGAGCATCATACCAGTCAGATGAAGAGATCTTTGAATTTTAATGTCATTGCTCTTAATTTAAGAAATGCCTAAGACTGAGTTTGAAAATAAGTGAATTACTTTAATAGGAAGCAAGTATGAGTGATTTTATAACTAGCCTATTTGTTTCAGCAAACTTGGATAAAGCACTTAAGATGTATATCTTCTTTTGGAAAATCCAACACATTTTTTTCTTCATATACTAAGAAAAATAATTTTTTCATTAGTAAAAGCTACATAAAAGGGATATAATTGACAATATAAAAATGAAATTTCAAATTTCAAACCCTTCATACTAAACTAAAAAATGTACAGTAACATAATAAACCTTGAATCTTTCTACACAAAAAATATTAAGGTAACTAAAACTTGAAAGGCTAGAATTTAGCTCAGTGCTAGATTGCTTGCCTAATATGCACAAGGCCTTTGGCTCTATCCCAGTACCACAAAAACAGACAAACCAAAAAAACATAGAGCATACAGATGATAGACCAGATATATTAATTGGTGATTCACAAAGCAGTAGTACAAAAGCTAGTAAAAACAGTAAAATTTTTAATCTTAATATTGAAAGAAATGCAAATAAAAACATCAGGTTAACCATTTTTATCATGGATATTGGAAGTTGCTGGTCCTCATTGTCAATGGTGATCCAGGAGCACTCACATGCTGGTGTATAAATATAAGCTGATTCACTTCCTAGTGAGCTTCAGTCTTTACAGAGTTGGATAACCTTTACTCCAGCAGTCTAACCCTTACAGATAAATCTCAGCTTTATCTTATTAATTAATTAGATGCATGGAGATATGCTTGTCATATGACTGTAGCACCAAATGCCGAAAGCAAATGACAAGTTCAGTAGTATAGAACTGGTTATGCCTTATGTTTAATACGCTTAATGAACTGCTTTGGCATTAGCCATAGAAAAATATTAAAGAAAACTAATAACATGGAAAAATAAAGCAAGTTATAAACATCGTGTGCACACCTATAATCTCAACTCAGGAGGCTAATGTAGGAAGGCCAGCCTGGACTATATAGCATGACCTTGTTCCAAAAAGACAAAACAGCAACAAAAGTATATGTGCAGTAAACTGGAACCCAGTTTTTAAGAAGTCAGTTAAAATGTCTTATTCCCTTTTATCATTTAACAAGCTCTATGTAGATATTTCTTTTCTTTTAGTCTTTATAACTTCCCTTGGAAACCATGAAAATTAGTTCAAATGTAGTTCACAGCATTTATCAAGATTCATTTTGTTTTGAGGCTATCTCACCTTGTATATCTTTAAGCTTTCTAATCTCTCTCTGTTTTCTGACTCTAGGAACCTAAGGACCATCCTTCTTACCCTGCTTCTTATCCCTCACATTCATTCTGTCATCAAATTCTTATGTCAATTCTACCCTGAAAATGTATTTTAGAACCACCTTTTCCTGAGCTCTCCTCCCACTGTCCTTACACTAGCTGCCATTGTCCATCATTCTCATTCATGTTTATCCCCCACATCCAGACAGATCTAGCTGTGTAGCCTAGGCTGGCCTTGAGCTTTTAATTCTCTTGCCCCAGCCTTCCAAGTAGCTGGATACAGGCACACACCACCACACCTACTTACTACCTTATGCAGGCCACTGCAGTAATTTTTCTCCTGACTTCCTGTGTTTTCTAAAGTTATTTGACAGTGCATTTTGATATAGAGAGAGCCTTTATGAATGACTTATACTTTGAACTAACAATTCTACTTCCACAAGTCTTTCTTATGGTAAATGGCAGTAAATATAGTCAAGCTTATATACCACGTTGCTTAGTAACTTTTTGTGTAATCATGAACAATGACTAAATGTATACTAGACATTGGATTGGCAGATGCTGAATTTTTGGAGGTAGGTGCATGATAGAGGAATGGCTGCAGGAATTATAGTAGATCCACATAGGAAACTATTGTACAACAGGTATAACTTACTTGTGAAGATGTCATCAAAACTTGGAAAGATAGCTGTTTCCTGTGACATATTCAGGTATATAGACAGTATAACTAGAACTCTGGTTTTTCTTGTTGTTGTTTCTGTTTTTCTGTCAAAGGTGGTAAGAGAAAATGCCAAAATACTCGGGGCGGGGGGGTTAAGCAATTTCATTTACTTCCAAATTCAGGTTCATGACCATGCTTTTACCCTATAATGAAATAAAATCTTTTTCAAAAGTCAGTCTGAGAGGTATTTAATGAATAAAATTGAGCAGAAGTGAGTTTATATTTTAGCCCTGACACTAAGTTGATCTCAAATAAACTATTCCTTTAATCCATAAAAAATATTTTCACACATTAATCTCAGTATTTGTGAGGAAGAGGCAGGCAGATCTCTGTGAGACTAAGACCAGCCTGATCTACATAGTGAATTCCAGGCCAGCTAGGACGACATGGAAACCCTGTCTTGTGGCGGGGGTGGAGTTACTAAACTGCTTTATAACCTATTAGATTAAATGCAGAAAGTATTTTAAATCAAAATTTGCTATTCACCCATAAACTTTGTATATTTGGATTTTCCCTTATCCAAAGTGGCTTCCCTGTTTTGTTTTGCTTTGTCTTGTTTTGTTTTGGGTTTTTGACACAGGATCTGCTGTAGCCCCAGCTGGCCTGGAAAACTCATTGTGTAGACCAGGTTGGCCTTGATATCTCAGAGATCCTCTTTCCTCTGCCTCCAGAGTGTTAGGATTAAAAGCATGCACCACCATGCCTGGCCAAAGCGACTTCCCTTATCCAAAGAACAAATAGAAAAATAATGTGTATTTCTGAGCTTTGGCTTAATTAGATAATGTGACAGAAATTTAATAAGTGCTCTACCACTGAGCTAAATCCCCAGCCTCAATTAATTAATCTTTTTTAAAGCACCAGTTAGATGCCATCTTGATTCTTTTAAATGCCTGCCCCAAAACAACTGAATCATACCATCTCAATACTAACCTTTCAAGAGATTTTGTGCCAAGTATTGGTCTACTTTCTCTGTCTGCTCGGAGTATAGCTACTGCTCACCTTTTCTCCCAGTAAGTACTGTGGTCTAAGACACACTCACTGGGATTATTGTGGTAACTTCCTAACGTCTACTGTTCCTTTCTTAAAACTGTAATAGCAAGAAGGACCCTATTAAAGTATACACCATGTCATTCTTGTGTTTAGTAGCTCCCCGTTTCTCTCATAGTAAGAGCCAAAATTGTGTCATATACCATGCTCCCTCCTGTTTAGCTGTCCCCAGTCACACTGACCTTTCTGTTCCTCAGGTATGCTGTGGATGTTACTGCCACAGGACTTCTCACATACATCTCCTACTGTATAAAATCCTCTTCCCTCATGATCTCATGGGCCACTACTTTCGGATGACACTTTTAGAGATCTACTTGGTCACTCACTACCTTCCCCTCTACTGCTCTTCTGACTTTCTCACTTCATGGTATGTTCATGGATGCATGCATGTGCCCCTCTACACGCACGCATGCACGCACACACACACGAACACACACAGTTTTACTTGTGTAGATGTGTCTACACACACTTCACCCCTCTGCCTAAATGAAGCTTCATCCAAGTGGAGATTTCTTTTTCCATTTTTTGTTTACAGCTGTATCATCAGCATTCAGAACAACACTTGGCACACTATAGATGCTCAAAAAATGTTTTCTGGATAAACAAACAAGGGAATAAAGTCATCATAATTACAAAACTTAGCAGTTAAATAAGATGACTTGCCATTCAGCTTACCTATATTTAAGAATTCCTAGAGTTTATGCTTTTAGAAATTCAGAAATTTGACTTTGCTCACATAAAAAAGTTTAAGACTTGCTGCTTTTGCAGAGGCCCCAAGCTCAGTTCCCAGCACCCATATCAGGGGGTTACAGTTGTCTGTAACTCCAGCTCCGGAGATCCAGAGTTTTTTTCTGGCTTCCACAGCCACCTACACTCACCTTTGCACATACCCACATGAAATACGGACATGTACATATAATTTAAAAAAATAGATTTACAGTTTTTCATGCCAAATGCTCATGAGCTATCTATGATCATCCTTTAGACTTATTTTTGTGTCAATTATTTACCTAATTCCTAGGACAAAATAGTAGTCTAATTTTGAACTCCAAATTCTTGATATATGTGTGGGGGTAAACAGGTGCCACAGCATGCTTGTTGAAGTCAGAAGGCAGCTTATAGAAATTGATTCTCTCCTTCCACCATGTGGATCCCAGGGATTGAACTCAACTAGTCAGGCTTGGTGGCAAGTACATTTACCTGCATCTTGCCAACCTGAAATTTCTTTTATAAAGGAAAATTCACTTCTAATAAGTATATCTGATTCCATTCATCTTATGCTATTTCTAAGGAAGAGCTGTGCTAGACTACATACAGGTGTTACCTCTTATCCTAGAATCATAACTTCCCACATGTTGTGACTACATAATTGATAGGACATCCTTGGCTCATCCTAGAGTTAGTTCAAGTTCAGCATTAGTTATTTCGAATAACATGAAAGTTAAAACCAGAAGATAAGCTAATTTTTAGTTTGTATTGACCATTTTTTTATTGATCATTCTCTCTTCCCTTCCCTCCCCTCCCCTCCCCTCCCCTCCTCTTCTCTTCTCTTTTCTCTTCTTCTCTTTTAGGTTTTGTTCCAACTCTGGGTGGCACAGAGTTCAGAGTTCTTCAGACGCTTAGCCCTGTTACTTTCTACAGCTAATTCACCTTCAGGGCCCTTACTAACTGAAGCACTTTTGCCTCATCGTATTTTATCTGATGTGACTCAAGATCTACCTCATGCACATTCTGCCTGTTTGGAAGAGCTTAAGCGTAGCTATGAGTTCTATCGGTACTTTGAAACTCAGCACCAGTCAGTACCCCAGCGTTTATCCAAAGCTCCACAGAAGTCAAAAGAACTGAATAACGTTCACACAGCAGTGCGTAGCTTGCAGCTCCATCTGAAAGCATTACTGAATGAGTAAGTTTAGAATCCATGTAAGAGAATGTCCCTGTGCTGCTTTAACACACTATTCCTGTTCCACCGTGGCTGTTGGCTTGTGTCCTAGATAGAAAGAAGAAACAAAATTAGCACGAAGGATGATTTATAGGTATGACGTATCAAGGAACCAATGATATGTAAGTACTATAGTGTGAGGATAATTTGTAGTTTCTCCTTTTTTTGATTTCAACAGAAAGTCTAGAAAGACAGGACAAAAGGAGATGCTTCCTACCTTTAAGCAGTGAAATGGAGAAGGCTATGAAAATGAGCTGCTTTAACTCTCTTAAGGTAGGGCTTTTAGTCTGGAACCTGCAGTCTAAGAAGTCCCTGCCAGCACTTTAACAGTGTAAAAGGTATTGCTATGACACAGCCAAAGGGGAATATATTACTGTTTTTCTAAATACGTCGTAACAGATTTAGAACTGCTTCTGTAGCACAGAATAAACTTTTTGGCCTCCATTGGATAATAAAAGTTACTGTCCACGTTTTATATTTGCTAATCTTCTACTTTCCATATGTTGTTAATATTCAGCTGTAAATTTCCAAATTTTTATATTCCACTTGGGTGTACTTTTATGAATTGCAAGTATTATTTTCATCTTTTTCTAATGACAATTTTCACATTTAAAGTTGAATCAACACATAACGTCTGAATATAGTCATTCCCAGTGAATTTTTCCTCTAAAAGTTAAATACAGTGTTAGGGCTGGAACAAATGGGTGGTTATTATTTTGTTGGCAGTCTGGAAGGCCATAAGAATTTACTAAGCTGATTGGGGCTGGAGAGATGGCTCAGCAGTTAAGAACACTGGTTGTTCTTGCAGAAGACCCAGGTTCGAATCCCAGCACCCACATGGCAGCTAACAGCTGTCCATAACTCCAGTTCCAGGTGATCCGATGGCCTCTCTGTCCTCTGTGGGCATTGCACAACACGTGTGCACTTACCTACATGCAAGTAATATACACATAAAATAAAAATAATAAATAAAACATTTCAAAAAAAAGAATTTACTAAGCTGATAAGAATATAGTTGGTATTCCACTTGACCCACCAATCAAGAAGTGGAAAGGGAAAGGTGTAAATCAGATTTAAGATAGAAAGTGATTCAAAAGGACTTGACATTTCATAACCTCAAAAGGCTAGAATACATGGAATAAAGAAAAAAAGATATACAAGGATAGAAACTTAAGGTCAAGAATATACTGGAAAAGGTAAGTTTTACCTCCATTAAGGCCTGTGACAGGTTTGTATGGAACTCAAAGGTTAGGGAATAGGGAAAATGAAGAAACTGAGGTGAGAGTATCCCCATGATCTCTATCTACTGTTCTAAGATAACAAGTGAATACCAATCCAATTCATGGCAAGCAACATGGAAGATAAGGCCATTTCCACTTGAGTGGGTAGCAAAGAGTATGTTAGCAAGGCTCTCTAGAGGAACAGAACCAACAAATGAATATATGTTTTTAAAGGCTTATTGTGTGTGTCTGTGTGTGTGTGTGTCTCTGTGTGTGTGTGCGTGTGTGTATGATGCATGTGGGTATCAATAGAGGCCAAAAGAGGGTGTCAGATCTCCTGGAACTGGTCTTCTAGATGGTTATGAGCTGTCCAGTATGAGTGCTGAGAACCAAACTTGGGTCCTTTGAAACAGCAACAAGAGCTCTTAACATTGAGCCATCTCCCCAGCCCCATGAATATATATTATAAGAGGATATTTAATAAATTGGCTTACACAATAGGGTCTGGGTAGTCCAACAATAGCTGTCTAAACCCTGAAGAGGCAGAGAACCTGGTAGCTGTTCAGTCCTGAGGCTGGACACCTCAGGAGTCCCAATCTGGTGCTAAAGGTCTAAAGGATTCTTAAAGAGCCACTGGTCTTTAGTCCACGTGGAAGACCAGAGAGGCTGGGTTCTGATGCCGGTGAAAGATGGCGGCAGCAACAACAACAACAGGGTCAATATATTGACCAGCAGGAAGCAAAGGCAGGCAAGCAAAGCAGCACTGATTTTCCTCAGATCTCGTTGTATCTGGGCAGCCTAGGGAAGATGCTGCCCACTAGGGAAGGATCTTCTCCCCTTGTTTAATCCTTCCCTGGAAATGCCCTCATAGACCCAAGAATATCTTAGTTGGTTCTGGATTCAACCAAGTTGATAAGATTAGCAATCATACAGAGGAAGATGAGATTTTAGTGGAAAAGTTGTATTAAGCAAAATCAGAGTCCCCAAAGAATTACTTTGAGGCAATAGAATCAGGAATATACCAGGCCTATTACAATACATTGAAATGAAGGGGGTTTAAAGAAGGAAGAATGCTATACTGAGTAAATAAACAAGAGGAGCTTTGTATGGGAGATGAGTGTTCTGTTTTAAAATGGAATATTTTGTATATACTACTATCTGGTACCCAAGTATTTTAATTAGCAAGTATACTAGGCACAAATATTTTTTCTATAGTGTTACTGTGTAGCACTTTTTCTCTTTGAGGGGGTTGGTTGTTTAGTTGGCTGGTTTGTTTGTGGGGGTTGGTTTGTTTGTGACAGGATCTTGTGTGTCCTGGGTTATCCTCAAACTCAAATCATTTTGCTTCAGGACTCTAAGTCCTAGGATTATAGGAATGTGCCCACTATACATGGCTCTTACCACTTTTAAAAGTGTTGGGGATGGAAAATTTTAAGAGCCAGGGGAAGAGATGCATGACCGTATGAACTTACAACAATGGTGTCAGCATGCACAAGACCCATGCAAACTCAATCAGACAAAAACCCAGCAGAGAACTGGAGAAATGGGCAGCAGACCCCAACCTTAGCCAAAGAACTGTTGGCAGCTGATTACTGCCGGGTGAGAGAGAGTTGATCTTCTTTAAAGGAGAGACTCTAGATAAGCTGACTAGACCGCAGTGGATGAATTTGCATTGAGAGATATCTGAGGACATTAACTTGACTCGATAGAGATAGTCCGTAACATATATGACAGAATGCCTGAAATCTGGTGAGTGTTGTATAAGGGGGTACAGATGGAGGAGGGATATAAATATGATTAAGATGTTTTGTATGAAATGCACAAAAACTCAGTAAATATACTTTTAAAATTGTTCTGTTTCATATTTTGAAGCTCTTTCAATTTTGTCCCCCTCCTTATCCCATTTACTATTCTCATTCTCAGTGTCTCTGACTGACACTATGGCTCAAGCCATCAACTGTTCTTCCTTACTTCCAGATTAAGGTTACTGACATGTGTTTACTTTCTCACTTAACTGAAAATCATCACTAGTTTCCAAGTATAGCACCTTAAACCAAAATGTACATCTTTGAATTTTTTTTTTAGTTGTGTGTATATTTTGTGTGTCTATTTGTGTATATGCAGTGTGTGTGCAGGTGCCCATGGGGGCCAGAAGAGAGTGTCAGATCCCCTGGAGCTGGAGTTACAGGTGGTTGTGACCACCTCAACGTGGGTGCTGAGAACTAAACTTGGGTCCTCTGGAAAAGCAGCAGATGCCCTTAACTGCTGAACCGTCTCTCCAGCCCCTGTAAAAAGCTTTCTAAAACCCAAATCTGAGTTTCTATCTTTATTTCTCACTCCTTTACCTTTGCTGAACTATGTAAAAACTTGTTCCCAGATTGCATCTAGAATGACTCCCTCACTGTACAGATACCACTTGTGTGTATTTATTAGTGCTTCCTCAGAAGTAATCTTCCTTAGCTTTTCCCTGTTTTCACCCAGCACTAGTGTACCCAAGACTAGTGATTTCCTGGTCTTATGAATTCTCATAACACTTTCTTTTTGATATTACCCTTTTGGGCTTGGACTCAGCTCAACATTAGCAGATTTGTGATTCTAGTCAAGTTTCTTTAATTCTCTGGCTTAAATTCTTATCTTTAAAATGTTTTTAATTTTTTGGGATGGAGAGATGGCTCAATGATTAAGAACACTGTTCTTGCAGAAGACCCAGGTTAGAATCCCAGCACCCACATGGCAGCTAACAACTGTCTGTAACTCCAGTTCCAGGGGATCTGACAGCCTCTTCTGTCCTCCACAGGCAATTGCACGACACGGGTGCACTTACCTACATGCAGGCACAACAATCCTACACATAAAATAAAAACAATAAGTAAAATATTTTTTAATGTTTTTAATTTTTACAATATGAATCAAATATACAATTTTCCTGATTATTAATTTCCAAAAAGTAGGAGTTGGGCTTAATCTATTCTTTCAGCTCAGAAACTGCCTGGTATGTCTGTAAGAAATACTTGTTAATAAATTACATAGCATACCTTACAAATTTCATTTGTTTGGGGTGTGTGTGTGTGTGTGTGTGTGTGTGTGTGTGTGTGTATGTTTAGACATGTTAATCAAGTACTCTATCACTGAACTGCATCTCCAGCCCCATTTAATAATTTTTCAGAGTACAGTGGCATCAAGTACATATATATTGTACAACTGTCACCATTTATCTCTAGAACTAATAATTCTTATAAATTATGAAATTTCTATTTTATATTTTTAAAAATCTGTTTCTGTTTTTCTGTATTACCTAGAGTAATAATTCTTGAGGATGAACTTGAAAAGCTTGTTTGTGCAAAAGAAACACAAGAGCTGGTGCCAGAGGCTTATCCAATACTAGAACAGAAGTTAAAGCTGATTGAGCCCCATGTTCAAGCAAGCAACAGTTGCTGGGAAGAGGCCATTTGTCAGGTGGACAAACTGCTGCGAAGAAGTACAAATAAGCAAGGTACCTGTAAAGATTACTTTCAGCACATGCTTATCAAATATGCTTGTTTCATTCTGGGGTTTTATTAGGCTTTTTGTTTACATGAAGAAACTTGTTTCATGAAAGTTCTTCATTTACTAAAATGAAAAGTTGAATTTATATGTACAAATTGACACTGAATTCAGTCTTGACTCTTATTTTAATATAAAATACAGATGATTTAAATGTTCATTAAGTCCTAGCTCCTTTAAAAAAACACCTGAAATAAAGTTCTTTATTCTTTTTTTTTTTTTTTTTTTTTTTTTTTGAGTCAGGGTTTCTCTGTAGCCCCAGCTAGCCTGGAATTTGCTATGTAGACCAGGCTGGCCTTAATCTGACAGAAATCCATGTGCCTCTGCCTCCCACTCAGATTAAAGGTATGCACCACTATGCCCAGCAAAGGGATAAGTTTGATAGTACTTTCTACTATCAGAACTTCCAGAAACTCTTACAGCTAAGAGTCATAAAAGAATGAGTTCAGCTGGCTGTGGTGGTTTATGCCTGTAATTATAGCACTTAGGCTGAGACAGGAAGAGTGCCTTGAATCGAAGGCCATGGCTATAAAACTTTAAATGTTGTTTGACTATTTTACAAAGCAAATACTTTAGTTAGCCAGATTTTGATGTTTCATAGAAATCATTTTAGATTTCTAGAAAAATAGTTCAAAGCACCTTTCATCTAAATCTAACTGTTGATATTCTATCACATTTGTCTTGTCTTTTTGCATGTATGCTTATATACACATGGTGATGATATTACTCTGAACTATTTAAGAGTAGGTGACACACATAAAGTCCCGTTATCCCTAAATATTTCTCTTTGTAATTTTGAATACCATGGACAGTCTTCTACATCCACAAGATAGCATCAAAATAAGAGAATCACCAATGATAGACTATTTATATCTAGCCCACAGAACCAATTCAAATTTCATAGACTGTTGTCTTAGTTTGTTTCTCCATTGCTGTGACAAACCACGCTGACCAATACCAAGTTGGGGAGGAAAGGGTTTATTCAGCTTACATCTCCCAGGTCACAGTTCATCAGAGAGCCCAAGTTAGGAACTCAGGGCAAGAATCTGGAGGCAGGAGCTGGCGAACAGGCTATGAGGAACTGTGCTTACTGGCTTGCTCCCCTGTCCCCTGCTCAGCCTGCTTTCTTATGCAAGACACATCCACCTGCCCAGGGGTAGCACCACCCACAGTGAGCTGGGCCCTCCCACATCACATAACAATCAAGAAGATGCCCCACAGACATGGCCACAGGCCAGTCCAATGGAGGCAATTCCCCAGTTGAGGTTCCCTCAACCCAGTTGTGTTAAGTTGACACTAAAGCTATCCAGCACAACTGTCCAAATAGTATTTGGGGGAGGAGGTTGAGACAGTTTCCCTATAGCCCTAGTTGACCTAGAACTTGCTCTATAGATCACACTGGCCTCAATCTCACAGAGATCCACCTGCCTCTGCCTCCCAAGTGCCCAGATTAAAGGAGTATACCACTATACCCAGATCTAAATCGTATTTTTATACATCAACATCCAAATCATATGTGGTATTTAGCCTTTCCTTGTAGTATCTCATAATAAATATTTTGTGATTAAAATTATTTGAGGTTATATAAATATGCTTTCTTCATCAAAACTTCACCCATTACTAATACATCTAGTAGTGTCATTTAAATATTTGGCCAAAAACTATCATAACTTTATGTTCGCAGGCTGGGGGCTGAGGGTAGCTCAGTGCTAAAACACTTGCCTAATTCTGTGATTCCTTGGGTTCAGTGTCTACAACCACAAAATATGAAAATAGGAAGAGAAAAATTTAGTGCTCACAAAAAAGCTACACTTACATGTTTATAATGACTTTGTTATAACCACTAAAAGATCTAAACAGGTCATGTGTCCTTTGGCTGGCAAATAAACTGTTGCATCTATTCATTGGAATACTACTCAGCAATAAAAAGAGAGATGCATACAACAGGATGAATGAATCTTTAATACATTTTGCGTTGCTTTGGTTTGATTTGATTTTTTTTTTTTTTTTTGAGTAGTTCAGGTGGCCCAAACTCGCTTTGTAGACCATGTTAGCTTCAAATTCCCTACCCTCCTGTCTCTACCTCCTGAGTGAAGGGATTACAGGCATATGCCACTATGCCTGGCAATTATGATGTTCTTAAAATGGCAAAGGAACAGAAAACAGGTCAGTGGTTGACAGGAGCTGAAAGTGGAGGAATAAGTTTTAAAGTGGCAACATAGCCAGGCATGTGATGCATAGCTGTGGAGGAGACTGAGGCAGGATGAGTGACGTTCAAAGCTAACATAGACTACTTAGCAAGACCCTGTCTCAAAAACAAAACAAGAAAGGGGATAGCATAAGTTAATATTTAGGGGATTGTTCAGTATTTGGGTTGTGACCATATATTTGTCTAACCCCATAGAATGGGATGCCAAAAAGTGAGGTTTTTTTTAATTGAATGAATTAAATAATTTAAATTATTTAAATTATTTTTTACTAGTTTTAGATTTTACTTGAATTTGTGTATTTGTGTTTGTATAATTGTTTTTGATAGTAGTGTTCCTCTGCACTATTTAAGAGTAAGTATCAGACATAAAACCCCCTAATACTTGTGATTATTGCCAATTGGTCATTTTCTAATTCCATTTTTTCTTTTACATTTATTATTTGTTACTCTACCATAAGGTAAAATATCTTTTTGCTCACTTATTTACTTATTTATATCAGTAAAGATTTTTGATTTGTATGAACCCCATCCTCTTTTTTTCTTTTCTGTTTGTTAATCTTTTTAGTTAGTATGTAAAATAGTGATATTTTCACACTCAGCATCATTCCTTAAGCATTTTCTTCCTGTCCTTACCCCAATTCTATGCAGTCATGTCTGTGCAAAACCTCAGTTCTTTTACTGGAGAATGGCATTAGAAAACATGATCTGGATGCTGTATATGCTCATTGCCACTGGGATGTAATTGTTTTTACATCCTCCCAGTGTATGGATGAAGCTACAAAATGTATTTGTGTAGACATAGACACATTCAGATTCACTTCTTTTAAAAACATTTTATGTATTATTTTTATTTTGTGCGTTTGAGTATATTGCCTGCATGTATGTGAGTGCACCCGTGTTGTGCAATGCCACAGATGTCAGAAGAGGGCTTTCGGATTCCCCTGGAACTGGAGTTAAAGACGGTTCATAGCTGCCATGTGGGTGCTGGGAATCGAACCCGGGTCCTCTGCAAGAGCAGTCCGTGCTCTTAACGTCTGTGCCATCTCTTCAGCCCCCAGATCCATTTCTTTGTCTGTGTACATTAAAAACCTTGTCATATCAATACTAGTAAAGTTTCAACACCACATGATTTACTGATTTATTCTGTCCTTCCCACATTTGAACCTCCCATTGTCTGATTATAAGAAACGTGGTTCCAGGGAGCCAGAGGCAGGCAGATCCCTGTGAGTTCAAGGCCAACCTGGTCTTACGTAGTTCCAGGCCAGCTGAGGAGTCCTGTCTCAAAAAAAGACCAAAAAGAAAAAAGAAACCTGGTTCTCATTATCTTCAGAATATTTACTTAACATAATCCCTTTTATGTAACTTGTTACTTGTCCTTGTAGACTTCTGCTTACTATAGTTGATATTTTAGTTGTTCTTAGCATTTTAAAAACTTTCTTTTAAGCCTTGAGTGGTGACACACACCTTTAGTTCCAGCACTTGGGAGGCAGAGGCAGGCGAATCTCTGTGAGTTCAGGGCCAGCCTGGTCTACATGCTACAGGGAGACCCTGTCTCAAAAAGACAAAAAAAAGGAAAAAAAGAACTTTCTTTTAATACTTCATGAAGCACTAGGGAGTTTAATATGTTCAAAAATTTAAAAGGCCTAAGGAGTAGAAATAAGAGGAAGAGCCTAGTGATCCCACTCCAGCCACTGGTTACCTTCCCTAGGGTAACTCCTTTTTTCAGCTTTTCCTGTATATACATATCAATATTTATAAATGTATTATGGAATATGTTAATTTGGTCTTTGCTTATGACATCCTTTTCTTGGAAAAATGCATGTTTTTTCCCTTATGTGGCTTATGGATTTTTTTTTTTTTCATCTTTTTGAGACAGGGTGTCCCTATGGCCCCAGCTGTCCTGGAACTCACTATGTAGACCAGGCTGGCTTTGAATTCACAGAGATCCACCTGCCTCTGCCTCCCAAGTGCTGGGATTAAAGGTGTGCGCCACCACGCCCTGTGGCTTATGGATTTTTATGTCATAAAGACTTCCTTTAAGTTTGTGATTTCTTCTAATACTTTTGTAGTTTTATATTTTCATATTAGCATTACTTAAGAATGCTGTAGAGAACTGGAGTGTTAGCTCAGTTGTAGTGGCGCATACATGAGGCCTAGGGTTCACCCCTAGCACTTCAAAAGCAAGAAGCAGTACTTTGGATTTGGGGGGGTTGTTTTGTTTTATCAAGGTTTTGTTTTGTTCTTTTTGAGACAGGGTCTCCCTGTAGCCCCAGCTGACCTGGAACTCACTATGTAGACTGGGCTGGCCTTCAACTCGCAGAGATCCGCCTGCCTCTGCCTCCCGAGTGCTGGGAGTAAAAGCATGCACCACCATGCCCAGCTTGTTTTCGTTTTTCATTCAAAGAGTTTAATATATATTATCAGCATTGATGAAAGGAAATGTGTGTTCTACTAAAAAGACATTAATGGAACTTTATTAATAGGTGCTCTAAGCACTTTTCATGTGTTATTTAGTCTTTACAAGATGAATATTGTTATTTTCAGCACTATTGAACAGATATAACTTATTTAAGCTAGAAAGCTTAAGAAGCTGGGGTTTCACTTAGGTGTGTCTAACTCTAGAGTTCTTAGCCACTGTGCGAGTCTGTCCCCTTTTAGTGCTACCTACTTCTGTAATTTATTTTTTATTTTATTTACTGTTTCTATTTAATGTATATGAATGTATTGCCTGCATGTATATAAGTGCACCCTTGTCGTGCAGTGCCCATGGAAGTCAGAAGGCGGCATTGGATTCCCTGGAACTGGAGTTACAGGCAGTTTTTAGCTGCCATGCGGGTGCTGGGAATCAAACCCAGGTCCTCTACAAGAGCAGCCTTTGCTCTTAAGCGCTGAGCCATCTCTCTAGCCCCCCTACTTCTGTAATTTATATTGGTATTAGTCATTAGCTCTCTTGCTTGTAGACAACTCTCCAGTTATCTATTTGTAACATTTCCTAAATATTTCATATTGTCCTTTACCATGTAACTACTATTACTTTTGAAAAGTAAAAATCTAGATGAGTAAGCTATGCTTTGGGTGTTTGTTTAGTTGGTTAGTTGGTTGATTGGTTCGATTTTTGAGACAGGGTCTTTACATATAGCCCAGGCTGGCCTTGAATTTGTGGTGCTCCTATTTCAGCTGCCTCGGTGCTGAGCATACATCCTTTGGGTGGTGTGGTTTGATTTGGCTTGGTTTGGTTTGAGTCAGGGTCTCATGTCGCCCAGGTTAGCCTTCAACTCACTATGTAGCTGAAGATAACCTTGATTCCCTGATCTTGCCTCCACTTCTTGATTGCTGGGATTACAGGAGCGTGCCACCACTCCTGGCTCATATTTGAAGTAGAGACATAATATGTAATCATATAATTAGATACCAAAATTGAATTTCAAGTAATTAAAGTTAAACTCTGCTGGGTAATCATGTGAGGATATTAACTTGTGAAATTCATTTCCAATTGTAACTTCTAAGAGTTAAAATAATATAAGATAGAAAAATAAAATAGTGTAAGATTGATCTTTTTTTAGTAGAAAGAATGGTGATCTGTCTTAAGACAGTTCCTATACTATGAGCAAAACATTTTGTGTATTTATGTAGTATCCATCATGTGCCAGATACTGTGGCCCTTTCCTCCAGGAGTTTGATTTAACTTAAATTAAATTGTACATTTACTGCTATTACTGTTAGTGTCTTTAATGTTTGTAAATAAAAGTTATGACCAGAACAAATTGGGAGTCAGATATGGTAGCATACATCGAAATACCAGCACTCATGAGGCTGAGGTAGGAAGATGGCTATGCTAAAACCAACCTGACCTCTGAGGAAGACCCTGTTTCAAAACAAGAAAAAGAGGAAAAAAACAAGTTGGACTCTGAAACTAACAAGGTGTTAGTGCCAGGGACATTCTCATTAGATGCCCATTTATTTCTGAAGGCCTGTTTCTCATCTTGACTCGTCCCCTACCCACCCACTTTTTAAAGGCAAGCCTGAAGAGGCATGTGAAAATCCACACTGCACTGCAGTACCTTTGATGCGGCCTACTCTCCACATTGCAGACAAAGATCCCATCCCTGAGGAACAGGTAAGGATGAAAGTTACTTTTTCCCCTCTACAGAAGAGTTTCATATAGAAAGTCTACCTTAACTTTAAGAGACATGGAGAATTGTCAAATAAATTGTTGAATTTCTGTTTCTAATGAGCTTTAAAATTATAATATAAATTTATATAAAACATCAGCTCTAGGGCCGGGTGTGGTGGTGCACGCCTTTAATTCCAGCACTTGGGAGGCAGAGGCAGGCGGATCTCTGTGAGTTCAAGGCCAGCCTGGTCTACATAGTGAGTTCCAGGACAGCTGGGGCCACAGGGAGATTTTTTTTTTAATTTTATGTGTGTATGAGTGTATTGCCTGCATGTAAGTGCACAGGTGTCATGCAATGCCCGTGGAGGTCAGAAGGCGGCATCAGATTCCCCTGGAACTGGAGTTACGAACTGTTGCTGGCCACCATGTGGGTGCTGGGAATCAAACCCTGGTCCTCTGTAAGAGCAGTCAGTGCTCTTAACCACTGAGTCATCTCTCCTGTTAAACTTTTTTATCCATGACTCTTTTTAGTATCCATGGTTAAGCTCTTGGAAGATTTCAGTTTATCAATAGATATGTTGCTTTCATCCCTCCCCAACTGCTGTAATTCGTGTACCAAGAGTAAGTACTCATTTTTGAATCTTAGAGTTGCATAGCTACATGTAAGTAAATGATATTAACAAATTTGCTTGACATTTTTTTCCTTTATTCATTTTCAGGAATTAGAAGCTTATGTAGATGATATAGATATAGAAAGTGATTTCAGAAAGGATGATTTTTATTACTTGTCTCAAGAAGATAAAGAGAGACAAAAACGTGAACAAGAAGAATCCAAGAGGGTGCTGCAAGAGTTAAAATCTGTGCTTGGATTTAAAGCTTCAGAGGCAGAGAGGCAGAAATGGAAGCAGCTTCTGTTTAGTGATCACGGTAAGCACCCACTTCTTAATCCATTGAAGGGGGTTCTTTTCTCTTTGAACCATGTTTGAACGGTAGTATTCTGGATCCACCAGTTAGTACACTTTCATCTAGAAGAAAATCAATTTGATCAATAAAAGAGTAGGTATGCAATCACTGGGACTATGAAGTCACACTTTGCATCAGGTATTTAATTTTTTTTTTTTTTTTTGGCTAAATTTGTTTCAGAGTGGACATTAAGTTGAATGCTCGGAGCCAGCCATGGTTGTGCATGCTTGTAATCCCAGCAAGAAGGTTGAGGCAAGGAGGATCATGAGTTTGAGGCCAGCCTGAGCTACATAGCAAGTCTGTACTACCTGAGCTATATAATAAGTCCTTTTTAGCAAAAAAAAAAGAAAGAAAGAAAGAAAGAAAAGAAAAAAGAAAAAGAAATTAATGAATTTGAGATGCTAAACTCTGCTCTCTGTATTTGAAGTACCTCAATGGAGCTGAGCATGGATGGTGCATGCCTTTAATCCCAGCAGGAAGGCAGAGGCAGGCAGATCTCTGAGTTCCAGGCCAGCTGTGGCTACAGAGAGGCTCTGTTTCAAAAGGACCAAAAAAAATAAAATAAAGTACCTCAGTGAAACAAATTAATAACTGTTAATATTGAAAAATACATTGAGCCCGGGCATGGTGGCTCATGCCTTTAATCCCAGCATTCGGGAGGCAGAGGCAGGCGGATCTCTGTGAGTTTGAGGCCAGCCTGGTCTCCATAGTGAATCCAGGACAGCTGGGGCTACAAGGAGACCCTGTCTCAAAAAGACAAAAAAAGAAAAAAAAAAAAAAGAAAAGAAAAATACACTGAGATTGGGACCATTTTCACTTGAGTTACTTAAGTGCTTTGAGCATGTTTAGTGTACAGAAGTGGAGGAGGTGTTTCTGTGTGCTTTGTATTCGAGTGTGGACCTGGTTGGCTGGCTGATAGTACCAGCAACTGGCCTTAACTTCTTCGTTCTACCTCTCACTTCTTCTTCAGTCATACTTCATGACAGGCAGAGAGGAATGAAGGGAAACTTGATAGTTGGCCATGTCAACTAAGCTCATTCCCAGCTGAATTAATTCCTTTGGACTTGCAAGAAGGTAGACTGAGTCTTCCCTTCCATTTTAGAATATCTTTTTGGACACTCAAAGCCAGTTACTTGCCTTTCCCTTTCTCACTAGTATGTAGATCATCTATTCTGGAAAACCCCTCAGGGTTCTCTTTTTTTCTTATGAACCCTCCCGTTCTCTCCAGCCCAGATCTGCATTTCTTGGCTTCACCTTTCCTCTTTTCTTCCCATTGACCCCCTTTAGCGCTCAGGTCCCCCACTTGGTGATATGTGTGCATCAGAATAGTCTCTTAGCTGACTTTCATTTCAGTATCTTTTTACCTAAGCTGACTTGTCAGACTTTTCTCAAACAGCTCATTAATAATGGCCGCTGTCTTAAAATTACAATGGCTCCGTCTTTCTTATTGTACCTGCATTTTCAGCAGAGGAATCCATCATGTCCACTCATATTTCTCACTCTTTCTAGCGAAGCTGTCTTTCCCAACTTTTTTATTCAATTAGACTAATTCCATAAGCTTGCTGTTTTTATTCATGAAGAAAATTTATGCTGATCTCTTTACCAAGAACCCTGTGTTCTCCACCAAGCTGTCCTCTCTACCAGTGTCATCTCTGTGATTCCTCTGACTTCCAACCCTGCTACCTTCACCACTATAGGCCCTCGTATCTGAGAGACGTGTTCTTGTGATTAAAGAAAGACTCAAGCAGCAAAGCAGAGAAGAGAAATGACAGACTTTCCAAAAACAGCAATAGAGTTCCCATGATCTGTTTGTTCATGAATTAGAGATTAATGGCATTATGTTTTAGGCACTATCAATTTCTGTCTTCAGATTTGTTGTCTCTATAACTAATCTTTTCTTTTTCTGGCTTTTATTCCCCAGCAGCAATTTATTCAGTAAATTGTGATTCAGCAATCACAATTGGCACTCTTGTTCTATGCTTGGCACTATTTACTGCTGTGTCTATAGCATGTAAAGGACAGACAAAATTGTCTACTCCCTTAGAGACATTGTCTCCAATTACGCATATTCTGTCTCCCTCATTCAATTTTAATGATCATGAATATTAACAAACTTCTAACATGTACATTTGTTAAGACCTAGCAGATTTATGAGCTAACAATATACAGAAATACTGGAAATAGGGGCTGGAGAGATGGCTTAGTGGTTAAGAGCACTGGCTGCTCTTGCAGAGGACCTGGGTTCGATTCCCAGCACCCATATGCTAGCATTACATGACAGGGGTGCACTTACATACATGCAAGCAATACACTCATACACATATAATAAAAATAATAAGTAATTTTTTTTAAATACTAGAAATAGCATCATCTATAAGCTTCTATCTTTTGTAGTATGTAGTGTTTCCTTCAGACAGCTATAAATTTACCAACTGACATCATGGGCAAATGAGAAATGTGTCTCATTTTAAGGGGTGTGCTTTTGATTCAGTTTGCATTTGAAAAGGAAATAATGCTGTCTAGTCTGAAAATGCGTAAAGATCTGCTGATACCATAAAAATGCTTTCCCATGAAAATTTTCAGTACATCTTCCAGAGTTGTTTTCATCTCTGCCTACAGGGGTAAAGTCCGAATGGAATTAGAGAGGGAAATTCTACACTGGAACCTGCTGTGGCCATTTTTTTCTGTTGTTGCTGCTTCTCTAGTGGAGTTACTGCAGCATAGGGATGTTTCTTGGAAATGGACATGTTTTACAGAAGTATTTTTTAAATATACGCCAGATCTTCAAGAAGCACTTTCTTCCTTCCGTCATGCTTCCTAATATATTGTATTGTACTAACCCCTCATGCTGGGAGGAGAGACTGCCTAGCAAGCAACCCACTGCCTACTAACATCAAGAGGGGCTAAATAAAACTTCATTTTCCTTGCAAAGACAACTTCTGCCGTATGGATCTACATTATATTATGTGTTATACTTTGTTTGGAGTTGGTCTTAAATGCACATTTTATTTCATTTGTGTTTTTCTGTAGCACTACAAAATGTGTAGAAGTATGCTTTACTTACAGTAGGGTTTTGTTAGGTGATTGGCAAGAAAGTTGAATTGTATGTTACACTTTTTTCCTGCTGTTTGACCTTATAAATGTGTATGTATGTATATATGTGTGTGTATATGTGTGTATATATATATGTATACATATATATGTTGACGGTGCCATTATCTGGATTACTTTAGTTCATTATCTTTGTGGTGAAAACCACACTGCTTATTCTCTAATGGCAATGATTCTCAAACTTATGTGTGTAACAGGATCAGGTGGAAGGCTTGCAAACATGCTAGTTCCCACTCTCAGAGCATCCAGGTCACTTATCTAGGATCAGCCACTAGGGTGTGTGTTTCTAACAGCTTCTTAGATGATGGTTGATTCTGTTGATTCAAGGACCGTGCTTTGAGAACCACTGACTCTGAACTGAAAAATCTTCAGCAAGCCCTATCTCATTTCTTAGGTATTTTGTCTCTTATAAAGCTGCCTAGATTTCTAAATTTATGTTGATTTTACTAGAAAGTTTTATCAATCTCTTATTTATTGCTATTTTTTTTAAAGCTACTGGGAGTTTAAAGTTTAGATCATTGTTGAGTCCTTAGTTATTATTTTTCTTTTTACTTTTCTTTTTTTTTTTTTCCTTGAAGCTATGTTGAAATCCTTGTCTCCTGTAGACCCAATGGAACCCATAAATAATTCAGAAACATCCATGAATTCAGATACAGGAAAAGTGGATAAAAATGATACTCAAGAGGAAACTAGTAAACCCTCTGCAAATGGGGAAGAAGTCAGTAGGGCTGAGTGTGTCTGTCATAACCCTGGAGAGGGTGAACACAGAGACACTTATGCACATAAGGTCCTCCTCCAAGGAGCTGAAGAAAGGATGTGCCACCAGTATGAGAGCAAGGATGAAACTCAGCTGGTGGATGATGGGGCCACTGCCACTCCAGCTCCCCGGGACTCTATACAGCTCTCCATTAAGCAGAGGTTGGCACGACTACAGTTGTCACCAGAATTTACCTTCACTGCTGGCCTCGCAGCAGAAGTGGCTGCTAGATCGCTCTCCTTCACCTCTATACAGGAACAGACTTTTGGTGATGAGGAGGAAGAACAAATAACTGAAGGAAGTGAAAATGAGGTAGAAGAAAAATAAGAACCAAGATGAAGTGATTTTAAATTGTTCTTTTTACAAAAGTGTTTTTAGCTTCAAGACTGGAAAGGGAAAATGAGTGTACGTTTACTATATATAAAGGCTAAGATGTGAATTTACAGGAAGAATCCTGATTTGAACAACTGATCTGAAATTATAGTAGATACCTGTAAATGCAGATCTTTTAGGAGTATAAGAAAAAGGTAAGGGCTTTTCTGAATAAACCGCTGTTTTATTTGTGGCACAATTGATAATCTTGGTAACTTGTTAAGTACTTTTAATAAGAAATGAATTTACCATTTCTTGCCAGAATTTGCTGCCATAAAGTGACTAGGATAATTCTCTTGCAAGAACACAAACATTTAGTATGACTCCTTTTCACTGTATCCTTGCAGTTAGTAACTGCAGCTGTTATGTTAATAACAAGTTGTTTGTATTTTATTTTTGTTTATACCAGTCTTAAAACAAAGATGCAGGTTCTGAATAAAAATATTTAATTAATACAATTGATGTGTTCTGGGGTTTGGAACTCAAAAGTAGTTTCAGAGGTATTTGGGCTATGGCATATTTCTTCTGTTTACTTTTTCGTATGTGTGTTCAGTAGTTCATTTTAAGGTGCCATACAGAGTTTAAAAGAAATTATGTCAAAGCGGTATCCCCATAGGCAAAGGTCCCATCTCCAACCTTGCAGAAAGGTCTTTATATTAGTTTACTTAGAGATAACTATACCACATCCATAGTAAGTCACAATGCTGCTGTTTTCTACATTGTGCTATTAAGGAGACTCAGGAAACCTGTCAGCGTTCTTGGAAAGCATCCTTGTCTTTTTATTCTTATTATGAATACCTCTCAAAGAGACTGCTTTCCACATTGACCAGTCTCATCTATTTTGTTCTGTGATTGTTTTCAGAGTGACATTTTCAGGAATATTCTGTTTCTGAAACCTGTTGCTCCTAAGCATTAACAGAGTATATAAACATTATTTGGGAGAAATGTAGGAAAATTCAATTTATGTTGCTGCCCCAGAAAACGAATAATGAATTTCTATAATTTACTGTTTTCAGTGAGCACACTTACTTATACTGAGGGTTTTTTTTAATTATTTTTCATCCTAAGAAAATCTTCTACTTTATATGAATAGACTTTGTACCATAAGTGACTTTTTTTTTTTTTTTTTTTGCCTTTTGCCAGATTATGGCACTTACAGAATTAACATGTTAGGAGCAATACCTTGGGTTGTACATAGTTAGAAAAAAGCTAAATGTCAAGGAAACAGAAATTTCTTATATTATAACTGACTTTTACATGCTGAAATTATAATATTTAGGGTTTTACTTCTTTAAATTAGTTTGGCAACCCTACTTTTCCTTAGATTTAGAAGCAGTTAGAAAAATTTTGCCCAACCAACACAGGAAAGATTGGAGTTTAATCATTTCAAATTATTTTATTGTATTTTGTTTCAAGAATACCAATTTGTCAGAAATTTGTTCCTAATAGTTTCAATTTTATATAGTGCTATCTGAGTAGATACTTTTCAATTCTGAAATACTAACCTTAATCAGGAATTCCCAGTCTTCCCATCTGGTCTGTTTTATCTACTCTTATGTAATGTCATGAAAATTCTGCTTGTTGAAATCATGATTTAAGATTTTTAATGTAATTTCTTAAGTTTCTTTAATCATTTAAAATATTTCCAAGATAAAACACTATTTTCTCTGTGAAAAAAAAATTTTTTTACTAATTTTCTCTTATAATATTCTAAGTCAGTGTTCCTCAGTTGTCTTAGTGGATACCTGAGTCAGAAAAGACTAGAAGTCCATTTTCTAAATGAAGATTTTTTTAAACCATACTCTGTAATTCTTAGTTGTTTTGGAATGAGATCTAGATAATGTTTCTGCCTAATAAAGTCTATGTAGTTCTTGCCATGAATACGTTATATGTACACAAACAGGCCGATGTGATATAAGTGGGTGGCATTGCTTTTCTAAGACTGTTTCACTTTCTTATACCAAGGTTTTGACTAGTTTTCATTGCTGTCATTTCACACTCAGAAGTCCTTTAAGAAAAACGTTTTTTGGAGAAAACTTATAATTGTATTTTCCAAATTGTACATACTATTTTTGTTAGTAATAGTATTCTGACAGCTTTTAATGCAAACATTTCCAAAGCTTGTTTTAACCAGGACTAATCTGGAACTCAAAGGAAGAATGCAAGTGAGAGGCGTTGTAGGTCACTCATGAGAACAGAATCTCTACCCTTTGTCTACACAGATAGGAGAGTCAGGACTGTAAGTGATCCAGTTTTAGTTATCAGGCCTTAAATTCTTCTGTGAGCCCCCACTACCTGGTAGAACTAGAGCCAGACTCTTAGGTGGTTCTGATTTACCATCCTCTGTTTTTCATTTTGGTTTGTTTTGGTTTGTTCCCCCCCACACACACAAGCTGTGTGTGTTATTTTATTTTATAAAATCCTTTTTAAAACTAATTGTACTCACAGCTTCTGAATATATTTCATTAGGAACTGATGTCAAGCAAGTCGGGAGAAAGAAACATATTTAATGCAAATTCTTAAGGACGTTGAAGAATATAGGTTTCAGAGCTGGGTGTGGTGACTCCCGCACTCTGAAGGCAAAGGTAGGAGGATCACTGCAAGTTTGAGGTCTATCTGGTCTACATAACAAATTCCAGGTCAGCCACAGATATATAGTGAGGTCCTGTATCAAAACGAAAAAAGAAGCCAGGCATGGTGTTGCACACCTTTCTTTTATCCTAGCACTCGGGAGGTAGAAGCAGGCAGATCTCTGTGAGATCAAGTCCAGCCTGGTCTACATAGCAAGTTCCAGGCCACTTGGGGCTACAGGGAGATCCTGTCTCAAAACAAAAAGAGCAGATTGTAGCCTTTACTACAGAAAGATAAGCTAGAGATTGAATTCCAGGTCTTTCAAAAGCTATGAGTGCTGTCAACCTAATGTGCTGTGGGAGTTTTCCCAGAAAAACCCAAATGCTCTGAATTGCTAAGTGATACTTGGGGTTTCTTAGAAGAAGTTAAAAAAGAGATGATGCTTTTGAAGCTGAAAGGCAAGATCTGGTTATAAATTTATATTCAATTTTATTTAAATGGATATGATTTATTTAAAAATCATATAATAAAAGACGCAATGCTTTAATCTTAAAGCTTAAGAGTCAACTTGTGCCAGGCATGATGGTGCATACCTTTAATCCCAACACTCAGGAGGCAGAGTCATGTGAGTCTCTGTGAGACTGAGGCTAGCCTAGTGCATTTCAGAAATTAAAGTTTAATGGAATATTGATTACACGTTACCCTAGATTTCGTTTCACCCTGGTACTATTTTCTTCCCATGTAAAATAAGAAACTTTTTGCTAAATGAATAGAAATAAAATGGGGGGACAGTTTAACTGTCTTGGATTAGTCATAGCATACTGTTTCTGTACCTAAATAAATAAAGGATACAATTAGATACCATAGAGTAAGGCATGGCTCAGCTAACCTAGTTTGAACTGAAGTTGGTAGTATGCTTCAAATAACAACCAAACAAGCATAAAGGTTGATTTTTCCAATTCTGCTTATAGGAACACATCTGTACAGTGTATGCCTAGATTAGAACTTTAAGATGCAAATACTGTAGGAGAGAAGACAGCAAAATGTGTAGTTACAGTGGCCATCTGTCCATATCAGCAGGTGATCAACTCGAATCAGTTCATCTTTTAGGAAAGTGAAACAAACTCATTTAATCCCTGAATTTAACAGTCTATAGCGAAATTTGCATTCTACTTACTTCTCCATTCTTTTCCTAGAGTGTACAGAAAGTTTAACCTTTTCTTTAAGAATATCGGTTCCAGCTGGCATGGTGGCACATTCGTTTAATCTCAGCACCCAGTAAGCAGAGGCAGGTGTATCTTTGTGAGTGCAAGGCCAGCCTGATCTTCATAGTGATTTTCAGGCCAAAACCAAAAAAAAGAAATATCAAAACAAATATACCAAACCAACAACAACGAAAAAGGAATATCAGTTCCTATAGTGGAGAATAAACACATTCACTCCCAAGGACAATAGATATAAAATGTAATGTGCTCCTTTACTATGTAACTTCACATTGATGTACTTTTTGAGTTATATCTGTTTTTTCACAGTCTCTCTATCTTCCTTTATAATCAGCTGTCACTTTTGCTGCTGTCTTGTGTGCCTGCCTCCTGCAATAGGCCCCTAATTTGCTGCTTCTAATCTGCTGTGGACTGAGAAACCAGATTGCCAAGCTTGCTAGAATTGTGTCTAAACTAAGAGTAAGTAGACTGAAAAAGGCCAAGAGCTTTTCTGTCAGTGACGTGCATGGACTTAGTAATACCTGTGTGTCTGCTTAACGTTTTTTTTAGTGATGTATGTGTGTGTGTGTGTGTGTGTGTGTGTGTGTGCGTGCACACACACACACGTGCACGCACCTCTTATTTCTTTACTAAGAACTTGCTAAAAATACTTGGTCTTGGTTGAATATATGATTGCCAAATATTTGAGGTATTAATTTGGTTTTTTATATGCTGCTATTTCTAGGATTCTCCACTAATGAATTCAACTGTAAAAGAAAAGTTGACTGATGATCTTTGTATAAGTCATTGTGTATATTTCAGGAAACTGTTAGCTATTTTGTTTTTGTTCACTGATCTCCATTCAGTACACACACTTAAAGTTTATGTGTTATATTATGAATGCTGCTCACCAGGACTTATATTCAAGAATTATTGATTTGATAGTTTTAAACCAAACTGACTCATTTAGTAAGAACTGTGTAACTTGATGAAGAATTGAGACATTAAGATATCCCAGTTTTCTAACAATATATGAAATTTACCTTAATCTTTTTTGATATTAAATTTACCATTATTGGGCTAAGGAGACAGCCCAGTGAGTGAAATGCTTGCTGCATAAGCATAAGAATCTGAGTTTAGATCCCCAGCACCCATGTAAAAGCTGGGTACACATCTCTAACCCTAATGCTGAAGACACAGAATTGGGTAGATCCCTGGAACTCAGTGGCCAACCACTCTAGCCTAATCAGTGAATTACAGGTTCAGTGAGAGACCTCTCTCAAAAAATAAGGTAAGAATGATCAAGGAAGACACCCAACTTCAACCTCTGGCCTCCACACATACACACATAAAGGCACATACAAAATGATTGCTATTAACATTGGTTATACTTTGAAAGACTGACCATGGAGAACTGATTGTCCCTGTATTAAGAGGTTGCATCCTACTGGACTTCAGTTTTCACAGTTTTGTTTTTGATAGTTATTCTGATTCCTACATTTATGTTAGTGTTTACTTAAGTGTGCCTGAAACAGTTGCCATTTCACATGTGCCTTTTGATCTGAATTGGAGTCTGATGACTGTGCTATTTAGAATTATGGAAGGTAGGCGCAAATACATGTACAATGGAAGTTCATACTACTTAAGTGCAGTGATTTTTTTTTCTGGTTTCTTGTTTTGTTTTGTTTTGAGACAAGGTCTCCCTGAGTCCCATCTACTCACTATGTACACCAGGCTGACCTCAGTCTCATAGAGATCTGCCTGCCTCTACCTACCCCCACCCCCGAGTGCTGGCATAAAGACATGCACCACCACACCCAGTTGATTTTTTTAGGGGGGTAGCATTTCTTATCCACTTCTTGTTAGATTGCAGTCTTTTTAATATTTTATTATTTATTAATTTCATTTTATATGTATAAGTGTATTGTCTGCATGTGTGTAAGTGCACCTATATTGTGCAATGCCCACAGAGGTCAGAAGAGGGTGTTAGATTCCCTGGAACTGGAGTTACAGACAGTTGATAGCCACCATGTGGTTGCTGGGAATTAAACCCAGGTCCTCTGCAAGAGCAGCCATTGCTCTTAACCCCTGTGCCATCTCACCAGCCCCTAGACTGCAGTCTTTATTCCAGTGAAGTTACTAGGTTAAATACCTGCTCTCAAAATAGAAGAATCCTTATTGCACAAAGATAATCATTTTCTTTCAACATTTTTGCCTTCCCTAAAGTTAGGTCTATATTGTAATTCTTTGGTTATGATTAAAATCAGTCCATTGAAGTTAAGAGTTTCAATATATTTTCAGTTTGAACTGGATACCACATGCTGTTATGAATTTCTTTGGCTTTTGTTTTTTTTTTTTTTTGTGTG